GACCCCTTGACCTTTTCCACATTTTGTTATGTTACTGCCTTATTCTAAAATGGATTAAATAAATAAAAATCCTCAGCAACCTACACACAATACCCCATAATGACGAAGGTTTTTAGACATTTTTGCAAATTTATTAAAATAAAAAACAGAAACCTTATTTACGTAAGTATTCAGATCATCCTTGAGATGTTTCTACAACTTCATTGGAGTCCACCTGTGGTAAATTCAATTGATTGGACACGATTTGGAAAGGCACACACCTGCCTATATAAGGTCTCACAGTTGACAGTGCATGTCAGAGCAAAAACCAAGCCATGAGGTCGACGGAATTGTCCGTAGAGCTCCGAGACAGGATTGTGTCGAGGCCCAGATCAGGGGAAGGGTACCAAAAAACATTCTGCAGCATTGAAAGTCTCCAAGAACACAGTGGCCTCCATCATTCTTAAATGGAAGAAGTTTGGAACCACCAAGACTTTTGCTAGAGCTGGCCGCCCGGGCCAAAGTGAGCAATCGGGGGAGAAGAGACTTGGTCAGGGAGGTGACCAAGAACCCGAAGGTCACTGACAGAGCTCTAGAGTTCCTCTGTGGATATGGGAGAACCTTCCAGAAGGACAACCATCTCTGCAGCACTCCACCAATCAGGCCTTTATGGTAGAGTGGCCAGACAGAAGCCAGTCCTCAGTAAAAGGCACATGACAGCCCGTTTGGAGTTTGCAAAAGGCACTTAAAGACTCTCAGACCATGAGAAACAATATTCTCTGGTCTGATGAAACCAATATTGAACTTTTTGGCTTGAATGCCAAGCATCACGTCAGTAGGAAACCTAGCACCATCCCTACGGTGAAGCATGGTGGTAGGAGCATCATGCTGTGGGGGTGTTTTTCAGTGGCAGGGACTTGGAGACTAGTCAGGATCGAGGCAAAGATGAACGGAGCAAAGTACAGAGAGATCCTTGATGAAAACCTGCTCCAGAGCACTCAGGACCTCAGACTGGGGCTAAGGTGTTCTTTCCAACATGACAACGACCCTAAGCACAAAGCCAAGACAACGCAGGAGTGGCTTCGTGACAAGTCTCTGACTGTCCTTGAGTGGCCCAGCCAGAGCCCGGACTTGAACCTGATCGAACATCTCTGGAGAGACCTGAAAATAGCTGTGCAGTAACGCTCCCCAGCCAACCTGACAGAGCTTGAGAGGATCTGCAGAGAAGAATAGGAGAAACTCCCCAAATACAGGCGTGCCAAACTTGTAGCGTCATACCCAAGAAGACTCTAGGCTGTAATCGCTGCCAAAGGTGCTTCAACAAAGTACTGAGTAAAGGGTCTGAAGACTTATGTAAATGTGATATTTCTGTTTTTAATTTCTAAAAATCATCAGTTTTTACTTCGTCATTATGGGGTATTGTGTGTAGATTGAAGAGGAAAGAAAACAAACAATTTAATCAATTTTAGAATAAGGCTGTAACCTAACAAAATGTGGAAAACGTCAAGGGGTCTGAATTCTTTCCGAAGGCACTGTATGTGCGTTTGTTTATACAGGAGTTTGTTATCTTTTATAATATATTGAATTGAGCTCTGATGCTGTAGGCCCTGGACCACATACAGGAAAAGAGACTAGTGTAGTGGTGGTGTGTGTTCATCTTTGAGAATAGTTCAAAACCATAGATAAAGAAATATATATTCAGGGTCATATTCATAAGGGCCCATGGTACATTTTTTTCAATGGAGAATGAGCATTTGTTATTAGACAATTTTGTGTTGTTCCTCCCTGTTTCAGTCCTTTTTTTTTATTTGGTGCCTAATTAATACAACCCAGGCACCAAATAGACAGAGACACTTATACGTTGTAGACTTTAGACCGTATGGTTCTCATTGACATCTGCTTTGCTGTAGGTCTGGGCTCACTTGTTGTCCAGTCCCCTGTGTGTTCTCTTGGTTTATTTATACTGAGGGCTCCAGTCCAGCACTGGCTGGCTGAGAAACAGACTACTCAAGGGAGACAGAGACACAACTCTCCTCCCTCCTCCTCCATCTCTTTCTCCTCCTCCTCATTGAGTTTGTGAATGGAGCCACTGTGTGTGAAGGTGTGCGTGTGTATGCACAGACACACTTTCACACACTTTCCATTCACTAGGGCTCATTCTAACTACTGTAGCCTTTTCCCATGGTGTGTTTGTGTGTGTGTGTCTTTGTATGTCACCGGCCTGACCCTTTTACACTGTACCCATTAGTGGGACAATGAGAGAGTACAATACCAGCCCAACTTCCGTGGACATAAAATAAAATAAAATGTAATAATAATTTATTACATTTGTAAAGCACTTTTCATTATAGGAGAATAATCAAAAAGTTAATATATATATATAACTAAAATACAAAATAAATTTAAATAAATATATATATATATATAACTAAAATACAAAATAAATTTAAATAAATATATATATATATATATACACTGCTCAAAAAAATAAAGGGAACACTTAAACAACACATCCTAGATCTGAATGAATGAAATAATCTTATTAAATACTTTTTTCTTTACATAGTTGAATGTGCTGACAACAAAATCACACAAAAGTTATCAATGGAAATCAAATGTATCAACCCATGGAGGTCTGGATTTGGAGTCACCCTCAAAATTAAAGTGGAAAACCACACTACAGGCTGATCCAACTTTGATATAATGTCCTTAAAACAAGTCAAAATGAGGCTCAGTAGTGTGTGTGGCCACCACGTGCAGAACCACTTCTTTATTGGGGGTGTCTTGCTAATTGCCTATAATTTCCACCTGTTGTCAATTCCATTTGCACAACAGCATGTGAAATGTAATGTCAATCAGTGTTGCTTCCTACGTGGACAGTTTGATTTCACAGAAGTGTGATTGACTTGGAGTTACATTGTGTTGTTTAAGTGTTCCCTTTATATTTTTGAGCAGTGTATATATTTACAGTGCCTTGAGAAAGTATTCAGACCCCTTGACTTTTTCCACATTTTGTTACATTACAGCCTTATTCTAAAATGGATTAAATATATTGTTTTTCTCAGCAATCTACACACAATACCCCATAATGACAAAGCAAAAACAGGTTTTTAGACATTTCTGCAAGTTTATAAAAAATAAAATACCGAAATACTTTATATACATAAGTATTCAGACACTTTGCTATAAGACTCGAAATTGAGATCAGGTGCATCCAGTTTCCATTGATCATCCTTGAGATGTTTCTACAACTTGATTGGAGTCCACCTGTGGTAAATTCAATTGATTGGACATGATTTGGAATGGCACACACCTGTCTATATAAGGTCCCACAGTTGACAGTGCATGTCAGAGCAAAAACCAAGCCATGAGGTCGAAGGAATTGTCCGTAGAGCTCCGAGACAGGATTGTGTCGAGGCACAGATCTGGGGAAGGGTACCAATAAATGTCTGCCACATTGAAGGTCCCCAAGAACACAGTGGCCTCCATCATTCTTTAAATGAAGATGTTTGGAACCACCAAGACTCTACCTAGAGCTGGCCGCCCGGCCAAAGTGAGCAATCAGGGGGAGAAGGGCCTTGGTCAGGGAGGTGACCAAGAACCCAGTGGTCACTCTGACAGAGCTCCAGAGTTCCTCTGTGGAGATGGGAGAACCTTCCAGAAGGACAACCATCTCTGCAGCACTCCACCAATCAGGCCTTTATGGTAGAGTGGCCAGACAGAATCCAGTACCAAGTTTGCCAAAAGTTTGCCAAAAGGCACCTAAAGGACTCTCAGATTGTGAGAAACAAGATTCTCTGATCTGATGAAACCAAGATTGAACTCTTTGGCCGGAATGCCAATTGTCACATCTGGAGGAAACCTTGCATCATCCCTACGTTGAAGCATGGTGGTGGCAGCATCATGCTGTGGTGATGTTTTTCAGCGGCAGGGACTGGGTGACTAGTCAGGATCGAGGGAAAGATGAACGGAGCAAAGTACAGAGAGATCCTTGATGAAAACCTGCTCCAGAGTGCTCAGGACCTCAGACTGGGGCGAAGGTTCACCTTCCAACAGGACAGCGACCCTAAGTACACAGCCAATACAACGCAGGAGTGGCTTCGGGACAAGTCTCTGAATGTCTTTGAGTGACCCAGCCAGAGCCCGGACTTGAACCCCATCGAACATCTCTGGAGACACCTGAAAATAGCTGTGCAGCGACGCTCCCCATCCAACCTGACAAAGCTTGAGAGGATCTGCAGAGAAGAATGGGAGAAACTCCCCAAATACAGGTGTGCCAAGCTTGTAGCGTCATACCCAAGAAGACTCAAGGCTGTAATCGCTGCCAAAGGTGCTTCAACAAAGTACTGAGTAACCGGTCTGAATACTTATGTAGATGTGATATTTCCTGTTTTTGCTTTGTCATTATGGGGTATTGTGTGTAGATTGATGAGAGAAAATAAGTATTTAATCAATTTTAGAATAAGGCTGTAATGTAACAAAATGTGGAAAAAGTCAAGAGGTCTGAATACTTTCCGAATGCACTGTGTGTATATATATATATATAACCTTATGATGAAAGCAACAATCAAAGTGTAGGAGGAAGGATAGGCCAGCCGGTAGAGATGAGTCTTAATGCCTGCTTTAAAAGTCCCAACAGTATGAGCAGCCCTGAGATTGTCAGGAATAGCCATATAGAAGGAACCAAAAAGTATAGTTTACCTTTGGGGACAGTAAAACCACAATGTCGCCTCCCTAGGGATGTAGTAGGGTGAAGTTGCCCATAGACACTGATCTTGGGTCAGATTTGCATTTTCCCTTGCTAATGGTTGAGGGTAGAATTAGGGGAGGAGAAGCTGATTCTAGATCTTTATCTAGGGGAAACTTCACCCTGAAACCCCCGGTGACACTGTCTAATGTGGGAAATACTGATAAGGCCCTTTTCCCTTTTCCACCAGGGGCTGGAGAAGACTGAAGCGTCGTCTCCCCTGACAACAGAGGGGAGCAGCCGAGCGCACACCCAGCCAATCACAAGCGAGGAGATGGTGGCGGCAGGCAGGTAGGCGGAGTCGAAGAGATATCATTGTATTATATTTATAAGGTCATGGGATTGTCTACAAATGTGCATGGTGGTAGACTCATAACATAAACATAAGCACACACACACACGGTTATTATTTAAGTGTTTCCTGGTGCGTGGGAGGAACATGCCACTGTAGTCTGCTAGTCTAGTGAGTCAGCACAGATAAATACACAGTACACAGTACAGTCAGCCTGTCAGATAAGTAGTATCATACGGTGGTGGTGTACGTGTGTGTGTTTATGCGTGTTTATGTGTGGGTGGGTGTGTGTACGTGCGTGACCATGCACATCTGTTTCTTTGTGCACTTCCAGTACAGCAGTGTTCCCCAATCCTGGTCCCAAAGGGGTGCACATTTTTGTTTTTGCCCTAGCACTCACATACCTTAATCAATTCAAAAGCTTGATGATGAGTTGCTTAGTTGAATCGTGTGTGAGTGCTAGGGCAGAAACAAAAAAGTACACTGCTTTGGGCAACACTGCAGTACAGAGTTAAAAGTGTAATGATGCAAATAATATGCAATGATCATTTTGCTCATTTGCATCATCATACATTTTGCTCTATATTGAAAGTGCTCCATCTTGAAAACTTGATTGCTAACATCCAACATAAAAAAAAATATATTAACATTGGACTAATGAACAAAATACTATAAGAAATTATTTTAGTAAAACATCCCTTTCAGGCACCTACCACTCCATTCAGGAAAGCTGTGTCTAGTAACTTTTGCTCCACCGCCTCCACATCCTGGACACCCCTTGACTTTTTCCACATTTTGTTACGTTACAGCCTTATTCTGAAATGGATTAAGTTGTTTTTCACCCCCTCATCAATATATACACAATACCCCATAATGACAAAGCAAAAACTGGTTTTTAGAAATGTTTACAAATGTAATATAAAAAATATATGACATTTACATAAATATTCAGACTCTTTACTCAGTACTTTGTTGAAGCACTTTTGGCAGCGATTACAGCCTAGAGTCTTCTTGGGTATGAAGCTACAAGCTTGGCACACCTGTATTTGAGGAATTTCTTCCATTCTTCTCTGCAGATCCTCTCAATCTCTGTCATGTTGGATGGGGAGTGTCGTTGCACAGCTATTTTCAGGTCTCTCCAGAGATGTTCGATCAGGTTCAAGTCTGGGCTCTGGCTGGGCTACGCAAAGAGATTCAGAGAATGCCACTCCTGTGTTGTCTTGGCTGTGTGCTTAGGGTTGTTGTCCTGTTGGAAGGGGAACCTTTGCCCCAGTCTGAGGTCCTGAGTGCTCTGGAGCAGGTTTTCATCAAGGATCCCTCTGTACTTTGCGGCGTTCATCTTTCCCTCGATCCTGACTAGTCTCCCAGTCCCTGCCGCTAAAAAACATCACCACAGCATGATGCTGCCACCACCATGCTTCACCGTAGCTTGGCATTCAGGCCAAAGAGTTCAATCTTGGTTTCATCAGACCAGAGAATCTTGTTTCTCATGGTCTGAGAGTCTTTAGGTGCCTTTTGGCAAACTCCAAGCAAGCTGTCATGTGCCTTTCACTGAGGAGTGGCTTCCGTCTGGCCACTCTACCATAAAGGCCTGAATGGTGAAGTGCTGCAGAGATGGTTGTCCTTCTGGAAGTTTCTCCCATCTCCACAGAGGAACTCTGGAGCTCTGTCAGAGTGACCCCTTCTCCCCCGATTGCTCAGTTTGGCCGGGTGGCCAGCTCTAGGAAGAGTTTTGGTGGTTCCAAAGTTCTTCCATTTAAGAATGATGTAGGCCACTGTGTTCTTGGGGACCTTCAATGCTGCATAATTTTTTTGGTACAATTCCCCAGATCTGTGCCTCGACACAATTCTGTCTCGGAGCTCTACGGGCAATTCCTTCGACCTCATGGTTTGGTTTTTGCTCTGACATGCACTGTCAACTGTGAGAGCCTATATAGACAGGGGTGTGCCTTTCTAAATCATATCCAATCAATTTAATTTACCACAGGTGGACTCCAATTAAGTTGTAGAAACATCTCAAGGATGATCAGTGGAAACACGATGCACCGAAGCTCAATTTCGAGTCTCATAGCAAAGGGTCTGAATACTTACGGAAATAAGGTATTTCTGTTTTATTTTTAATAGATTTTCAAACATTTCTAAACCTGTTTTTGCTTTGTCATTATGGGGTATTGTGTGTAGATTGATGGTGTAAGGGAAATGTATTTAATCCATTTTAGAATAAGTCTGTGGAAAAAGTCAAGGGGTATGAATATTTTCAGAATGCACTGTAACTAGCCATCGCTAGCTAGATCGCTCAACAAGGCTGACTATAGTTTGTGCGAAGTGACGAGGCTAGCTCACTCAACAACACACGTCCTATTGCGCAACAATAAGCCAAGGCCTAGTTTGTAGTGACACGGCTAGCTACAGTGGGGAAAAAAAGTATTTAGTCAGCCACCAATTGTGCAAGTTCTCCCACTTAAAAAGATGAGAGAGGCCTGTAATTTTCATCATAGGTACACGTCAACTATGACAGACAAATGAGGGAAAAAAATCCAGAAAATCACATTGTAGGATTTTTAATGAATTTATTTGCAAATTATGGTGGAAAATAAGTATTTGGTCAATAACAAAAGTTTCTCAATACTTTGTTATATACCCTTTGTTGGCAATGACACAGGTCAAACGTTTTCTGTAAGTCTTCACAAGGTTTTCACACACTGTTGCTGGTATTTTGGCCCATTCCTCCATGCAGATCTCCTCTAGAGCAGTGATGTTTTGGGGCTGTCGCTGGGCAACACGGACTTTCAACTCCCTCCAAAGATTTTCTATGGGGTTGAGATGTGGAGACTGGCTAGGCCACTCCAGGACCTTGAAATGCTTCTTACGAAGCCACTCCTTCGTTGCCCGGGCGGTGTGTTTGGGATCATTGTCATGCTGAAAGACCCAGCCACGTTTCATCTTCAATGCCCTTGCTGATGGAAGGAGGTTTTCACTCAAAATCTCACGATACATGGCCCCATTCATTCTTTCCTTTACACGGATCAGTCGTCCTAGTCCCTTTGCAGAAAAACAGCCCCAAAGCATGATGTTTCCACCCCCATGCTTCACAGTAGGTATGGTGTTCTTTGGATGCAATTCAGCATTCTTTGTCCTCCAAACACGACGAGTTGAGTTTTTACCAAAAAGTTATATTTTGGTTTCATCTGACCATATGACATTCTCTCAATCCTCTTCTGGATCATCCAAATGCACTCTAGCAAACTTCAGACGGGCCTGGACATGTACTGGCTTAAGCAGGGGGACACGTCTATGCACTGCAGGATTTGAGTCCCTGGCGGCGTAGTGTGTTACTGATGGTAGGCTTTGTTACTTTGGTCCTAGCTCTCTGCAGGTCATTCACTAGGTCCCCCCGTGTGGTTCTGGGATTTTTGCTCACCGTTCTTGTGATCATTTTGACCCCACGGGGTGAGATCTTGCGTGGAGCCCCAGATCGAGGGAGATTATCAGTGGTCTTGTATGTCTTCCATTTCCTAATAATTGCTCCCACAGTTGATTTCTTCAAATCAAGCTGCTTACCTATTGCAGATTCAGTCTACCCATCCTGGTGCAGGTCTACAATTTTGTTTCTGGTGTCCTTTGACAGCTCTTTGGGTCTTGGCCATAGTGGAGTTTGGAGGGTGACTGTTAGAGGTTGTGGACAGGTGTCTTTTATACTGATAACAAGTTCAAACAGGTGCCATTAATACAGGTAATGAGTGGAGGACAGAGGAGCCTCTTAAAGAAGAAGTTACAGTTCTGTGAGAGCCAGAAATCTTGCTTGTTTGTAGGTGACCAAATACTTATTTTCCACCATAATTTGCAAATAAATTCATTAAAAATCCTACAATGTGATTTTCTGGAGAAAAAAAATCTCAATTTGTCTGTCATAGTTGACGTGTACCTATGATGAAAATTACAGGCCTCTCTCATCTTTTTAAGTGGGAGAACTTGCACAATTGGTGGCTGACTAAATACTTTTTTCCCCACTGTATTTCCCTCATTAAAATGCAAATCAATTTATAACATTTTCGACATACGTTTTTCTGGATTTTTGTTGTTGTTATTCTGTCTGTCACTGTTCAAATAAACCTACCATTTAAATTATAGACTGATCATGTCTTTGTCAGTGGGCAAACGTACAAAATCAGCAGGGGATCAAATACTTTTTTCCCTCACTGTAAATGGCTCCTAGCCTCCCACGCATAGGCTTCTTTCTGTCCTTAACACTAAAACTGAAACTAAGTAATATAATATAATACTTTAAATAAATTAAAAAATGTGTAAAGTGGATCTGAAAACTAACTTAAAATAAACTGAATGTCAAATAAAATTCTTAACTAATAGAAATAAAAATGTATGTAAAAACCCAAACTATAATAACAGTGGTGCATGCATGGTGTTTCTGTATAATCAGCTCTAGTATTGTCTGGTTGCAGGTGTCTACCACTGTGTCATGTCCACCTAGTGTGTGTGTGTGTGTGTGTGTGTGTGTGTGGTAGATAAGGAGTGGGTGGTATGTCAACGCGTACCCTCCCCCTACCCTAATGGAATTTGACCCGTTCAACTGATTGTCTTCAGTTTCATTCTGAGACCAGCCACTAATATTATAACTGTCATGAATTTGTGTCTGTGTCAATATTCATTCCTTTATAAATTCCACACATAACCTTGTTGCATTCACTTTCAGTTTATAGGCATGGGACACTTTTTAAGTGTTCTACCCACATTTATGGTGCTAGGAGTTATTTTAAAAAAGGGTTTTCATTTAATTGAATACACATTTTAATGAATATACGTTGGAATTGTGGACAACACAAACGCACTCACTGATTTTATTTTACACAAATTATTTTATCAGAAGCCCTGAATGAGGCCAGTGCCACTATCAAATCAGAAGTCAAGATACATTTAGTGCCCATGATAAACACAAATGACAGCCAGCCAGCCAAGGTGTCATAATAAAGGAGATAGTTGGTGGCAGTAATAAAAGTGCTGGTAGCCTACCTGTATCAATGCCATCCTCAATTGTATTTTTTCTGTCCATCATTGTCCCTCTCCCTACTCATTCTCTCCCTATTTATTTCTCGATCTCTCGCTCGCTCTCTTCCTTTGTCTCTCACTCTGTCTCGCTCTCTTCCTTTGTCTCTCACTCTGTCTTTTTCTGCAGCCCTCCCAAGGAGGAAGAGTCTAAGGGCTCAGAGATGCAGGAGACTACAGACAAGCGCAGGTCGAAGGGGGAGCGCTCCCACACACAACCGGTCACTGAGTTTGAGGTGAAGAGGGTGAGTCTGTTAAAAATGAGGGTGATAGTCTGTTCTATTATAAGAGGAGTGTATTGGTGTATGCATGAGGATGTTACAATCGGATGAGTATGTTCTTAATCAATCTGTAGGGTATGCGTGAGGATTGATTTGTGTGTTACAAAGATGGATCATGCATGTTCATGCTGAAAATACACGTATTGTGGGTGGTAGGTACAGGCCAGGGTAGGCCTATTAGCAATGGAGTCTGCTTTTGAAGATGGGATGAAAAACGTCACACTGTAAATAACCTTTATCAGTGTTGCAATTCAGAAACATTTAGCAACAACATGCATCAACTGCTCAAATTCTTTCAATTTCTCGTTCATTTCTACCTTCTACTCCTATCCTCTATTCCCTCTGTCCTTATTTCTCTCCACCTCCTTTCTTCACTTCCTTTTCCTCATCCCATTCCTCTCTCTCTCTGTCAAATTCAAAATGCTTTAATGGCATGAAGGACAAGGTCAGTGTTGCCAAAGCTAAGTGATACATATTAAAGAATAGTAGCTATTATACTAAAGAAAACAATACTAAAGGAGTATTTCTCTCTAATAAAGCCCTTTTGTGGCGAAAAACTCATTCTGATTGTCTGGGCCTGGCTCTCGAGTGGGTGGGCCTGCCTCCCCAGTCATGTGAACTCCATACTTACTTTTGTGTGTGTGTGTGTGTGTGTGTGTGTGTGTGTGTGTGTGTGTGTGTGTGTGTATGTATATATATATATATATATATATATATATATATATATATATATATATATATATACACACACACAGTGGGAAAAAAATATTTAGTCAGCCACCAATTGTGCAAGTTATCCCACTTAAAAAGATGAGAGAGGCCTGTAGTTTTCATCATAGGTACACGTCAACTATGACAGACAAAATTAGAAAAGAAAATCACATTGTAGGATTTTTTATGAATTTATTTGCAGATTATGGTGGAAAATAAGTATTTGGTCAATAACAGAAGTTTCTCAATACTTTGTTATATACCCTTTGTTGGCAATGACACAGGTCAAACGTTTTCTGTAAGTCTTCACAAGGTTTTCACACACTGTTGCTGGTATTTTGGCCCATTCCTCCATGAAGATCTCCTCTAGAGCAGTGATGTTTTGGCGCTGTCGCTGGGCAACACGGACTTTCAACTCCCTCCAAAGATTTTCTATGGGGTTGAGATCTGGAGACTGGCTAGGCCACTCCAGGACCTTGAAATGCTTCTTACGAAGCCTTACGAAACATCATGCTTTGGGGCTGTTTTTCTGCAAAGGGACCAGGACGACTGATCCGTGTAAAGGAAAGAATGAATGGGGCCATGTATCGTGAGATTTTGAGTGAATACCTCCTTCCATCAGCAAGGGCATTGAAGATGAAACGTGGCTGGGTCTTTCAGCATGACAATGATCCCAAACACACCGCCCGGGCAACGAAGGAGTGGCTTCGTAAGAAGCATTTGAAGGTCCTGGAGTGGCCTAGCCAGTCTCCAGATCTCAACCCCATAGAAAATCTTTGGAGGGAGTTGAAAGTCCGTGTTGCCCAGCGACAGCCCCAAAACATCACTGCTCTAGAGGAGATCTGCATGGAGGAATGGGCCAAAATACCAGCAACAGTGTGTGAAAACCTTGTGAAGACTTACAGAAAATGTTTGACCTGTGTCATTGCCAACAAAGGGTATATAACAAAGTATTGAGAAACTTTTGTTATTGACCAAATACTTATTTTCCACCATAATTTGCAAATAAATTCATTAAAAATCCTACAATGTGATTTTCTGGATTTTTTTTCTCTTTTTGTCTGTCATAGTTGACGTGTACCTATGATGAAAATTACAGGCCTCTCTCATCTTTTTAAGTGGGAGAACTTGCACAATTGGTGGCTGACTAAATACCGTAATTTTCGGACTATAAACCTCGCCTTTTTCCCAATTTTTCGACCCTGCGGCTTATATAACGGTGCAGCTAATCTATGGATTTTTACAGCTAACGGCCACTAGAAGACCTCCTAAATCTATGGATTTTACAGGTTACAGACCACCAACTTTAACTCTATGGGCTCTTTGACCGGTCCGCGCCCCCCACCTTTAAGCGGCGGGCTCCAGCAGGAAAAGCTGGAGGCCGGAAAAGAGTGAGACAGGTAGCGCGCAAAAGTAAAAGTGGAACAGAGAGTGGTACGAGAGACAGAACGAGAGACAGAACGAGAGCAAGACAGACAGACATTACGAGAGCGAGACAGTTTGTGCAAAGGAAGTTTTCATGCACAAACCCTCATTATGGAAAACAAACGTAGAAATGCATATGATGCAGCTTTTAAGTTAAAGGCAGTCAATCTGGCTGTAAAAGGAGGAAATAGAGCTGCTGCACGTAGCCTTGGCATCAATGGGTCAATGGTGAGATGTTGGAGACGCCAGCGGGAAGAACTGTCTCAATGCAAAAAGTCAAAAAAAGCTTTCAGAGGTAATAAAAGCAGATGGCCCGAACTTGAAGACTTTCTTGAAGATTGGGTGAACACACAGAGAGCAGACGGCCGAGGTGTTTCCACCGTGCAGATCCGACTGAAAGCTGAAACAGTCGCCACCGAAATGAAAATTGAAAATTTTCGAAAGGGACTGTCCATCAGGGCGCGGACGACTGTGTGTCAGCAACTCCCTCCCGACTACCAGGAAAAAATAACAAACTTCGGCGAATTCACACAAAGAAAGATAGAGGAATATTCCATCGGACCGGACCAGATCATAAATATGGATGAAGTGCTTTTGACGTTTGACCTGCCTCTCACTAGGACTGTTAACAAGAAAGGTGAATCGTCCATCACGTTGAGAACCACTGGCCACGAGAGAACGAATTTCACTTGTGTTCTTGGCTGCACAGCATCTGGATTAAAGCTTCCGCCAATGGTGATTTTTAAGCGGATTACAATGCCAAAAGAAAAGATCCTGAATGGCATCTCCTTTAAAGTCAACAAGAAAGGGTGGATGATGGAAAGCGTAATGAATGAGTGGCTGAATGAGTGCTATGTCAAGCGCCCTGGAGGATTCTTTCGCCAAAAAAAACTTTGCTCGTTTTGGACAGCATGAGGGCCCATATAACGGATTATGTGAAAGCAGCCATCAAGAGCACAAACTCGATTCCAGCTGTGATTCCTGGGGGCACAACGAAGCATCTGCAGCCACTCGACATCAGTGTCAATCGTGCGTTCAAAGTGGCACTACGCGTTCAGTGGGAGGCGTGGATGACTAGCGGCGATAAATCATTCACCAAAACTGGTCGCATGCGAAAAGCAACTTTCGCTCAAGTTTGCGAGTGGATCCTGATAGCGTGGAGGAGTGTCAAAACATCCACGATCATTAACGGGTTCCGAAAGGCTGGACTGCTGCGTGATGAAGAGGAGGACGCCGCCACAGCTGAGGCCCTTCAGAGGCTGTTCGATTCCGACAGTGACGAAGAGGAGTTTGTTGGTTTTGAGAGCGACAACGAAGGAGAGAGGAGAGTGGCTGACGAAGCCACCCTGAGCCTGTTCGTTTCCGACACTGAAGATGAGGACTTTGGTGGTTTTAGTACGCAGGAAGAAGACGGAGATGAGGATTAATGACTTGACTTTTCTGGTTACAGCCGTGTACTGCACCTTAGCCTAAAAGATGAAGACGAGGATTAATGACTTTTCTGGTAGGCTGATTACCGTATATTTTAAGCAGCCGTGTTGCTGCAACTTTAGGCTTACGCGCTTACTGTCGTGTTACAGGCACTTTATTTTGCACTTTAAAAAAACACATTTAATTTAGCCATTGATATTGCCTCGTCAAGCGCTGTAAGCTTTGTTTTTTGGTATGGTACTACTGTAGGCTATAATGTAGATAAATATTCAAAGATGTGCACACTTTTTCAAGGTTTTTCAAAAATAACCAAAGTTAAGTGGTTAAATGATTGTGACGCTATTAACTAATTTTGCTGGGGAACCCCTAGCACTCCCTCAAGGACCACTGGTTGAAAACCACTGCTGTAGATCACTGCCGGTATGTGCGCTGGGAGCGCACCGTTTAAGTTTGAAAGTTGAAAAGTTTGTGTGTCTGAAACGCTATGTGATACAGTACAGTTTACACAGCACAGTATATGTTCTGTAGCTACTATTGCACTAAATGGTAACACTTGAATACGTTATGCAAATATGCAACTTGTTTGTTGAAATGTTAATAAATGGGAGCTTCCTCAAGCAGCCATATCTTTCCCGACAATCCCCTCTGTGCACGAACCCTTACATATGGTAATTAAACATTAAAACACCTGCGGCTTATAGTCCAGTGCGGCTTATATAGGTACACATTTTCAATTTAGCTGCTGCGGCTTATACTCCGGTGCGCCTTATAGTGCGGTAAATACAGTACTTTTTTCCCCCACTGTATTTGGTACAGAAACCTTTGTTTGCAATTACAGAGATCATACGTTTCCTGTAGGTCTTGACCAGGTTTGCACACACTGCAACAGGGATTTTGCCCCACTCCTCCATACAGACCTTCTCCATATCCTTCAGGTTTCGGGGCTGTCGCTGGGCAATACAGACTTTCAGCTCCCTCCAAAGATTTTCTATTGGGTTCAGGTCTGGAGACTGGCTAGGCCACTCCAAGACCTTGAAATGCTTCTTACGGAGCCACTCCTTAGTTGCCCTGGCTGTGTGTTTCGGGTCGTTGTCATGCTGGAAGACCCAGCCACGACCCATCTTCAATGCTCTTACTGAGGGAAGGAGGTTGTTGGCCAAGATCTCGCGATACATGGCCCCATCCATCCTCCCCTCAATACGGTGCAGTCATCCTGTCCCCTTTGCAGAAGAGCATCCCCAAAGAATGATGTTTCCACCTCCATGCTTCACGGTTGGGATGGTGTTATTGGGGTTGTACTCATCCTTCTTCTTCCTCCAAACACGGCGAGTGGAGTTTAGACCAAAAAGCTCTATTTTTGTCTCATCAGACCACATGACCTTCTCCCATTCCTCCTCTGGATCATCCAGATGGTCATTGGCAAACTTCAGATGGGCCTGGACATGCGCTAGCTTGAGCAGGGGGACCTTGCGTGCGCTGCAGGATTTTAATCCATGACGGCGTAGTGTGTTACTAATGGTTTTCTTTGAGACTGTGGTCCCAGCTCTCTTCAGGTCATTGACCAGGTCCTGCCGTGTTGTTCTTGGCTGATCCCTCACCTTCCTCATGATCATTGATGCCCCACGAGGTGAGATCTTGCATGGAGCCCCAGACCGAGGGTGATTGACCGTCATCTTGAACTTCTTCCATTTTCTAATAATTGCGCCAACAGTTGTTGCCTTCTCACCAAGCTGTCCTGTAGCCTATCCCAGCCTTGTGCAGGTCTACAATTTTATCCCTGATGTCCTTACAAAGCTCTCTGGTCTTGGCCATTGTGGAGAGGTTGGAGTCTGTTTGATTGAGTGTGTGAACAGGTGTCTTTTATACAGGTAACGAGTTCAAACAGGTGCAGTTAATACAGGTAATGAGTGGAGAACAGGAGGGCTTTTTAAAGAAAAACTAACAGGTCTGTGAGAGCCGGAATTCTTACTGGTTGGTAGGTGATCAAATAATTATGTCATGCAATAAAATGCAAATTAATTACTTAAAAATCATACAATGTGATTTTCTGGATTTTTGTTTTAGATTCCGTCTCTCACAGTTGAAGTGTACCTATGATAAAAATTACAGACCTCTACATGCTTTGTAAGTAGGAAAACCTGCAAAATCGGCAGTGTATCATATACTTGTTCTCCCCACTGTATATATATATATATATATATATAAATAAAGGGAACACTTAAACAACACAATGTAACTCCAAGTCAATCACACTTCTGTGAAATCAAACTGTCCACTTAGGAAGCAACACTGATTGACAATAAATTTCACATGCTGTTGTGCAAATGGTAAAGACAACAGGTGGAAATTATAGGCAGTTAGCAAGACACCCCCAATAAAGGACTGGTTTTGCAGGTGGTGACCACAGACCACTTCTCAGTTCCTATGCTTCCTGGCTGATGTTTTGGTAACTTTTGAATGCTGGCGGTGCTTTCACTCTAGTGGTAACATGAGACGGACTCTACAACCCACACAAGTGGCTCAGGTAGTGCAGCTCATCCAGGATGGCACATCAATGCGAGCTGTGGCAAGAAGGTTTGCTGTGTCTGTCAGCGTAGTGTCCAGAGCATGGAGGCGCTACCAGGAGACAGGCCAGTACATCATGAGACATGGAGGAGGCCGTAGGAGGGCAATAACCCAGCAGCAGGACTGCTACCTCCGCCTTTGTGCAAGGAGGAGCAGGAGGAGCACTGCCAGAGCCCTGCAAAATGACCTCAAGCAGGCCACAAATGTGCATGTGTCTGCTCAAACGGTCAGAAACAGACTCCATGAGGGTGGTATGAGGGCCCGACGTCCACAGGTGGGGGTTGTGCTTACAGCCCAACACCGTGCAGGACGTTTGTCAAAATTCCCTGTCTTAGGTCAGTTAGGATCACCACTTTATTTTAAGAATGTGAAATGTCAGACTAATAGTAGAGAGAATGATTTATTTCAGCTTTTATTTCTTTCATCACATTCCCAGTGGGTCAGAAGTTTACATACACTCAATTAGTATTTGATAGCATTGCCTTTAAATTGTTTAACTTGGGTCAAACGTTTCGGGTAGTCTTCCACAAGCTTCCCACAATAAGTTGGGTGAATTTTGGCCCATTCCTCCTTGATTGTAGGCCTCCTTGCTCGCACACACTTTTACAGTTCTGCCCACTAATGTTCTATAGGATTGAGGTCAGGGCTTGTGATGGCCACTCCAATACCTTGACTTTGTTGGCCTTAAGCCATTTTGCCACAACTTTGGAAGTATGCTTGGGGTCATTGTCCATTTGGAAGACCCATTTGCGACCAAGCCTTAACTTCCTGACTGATGTCTTGAGATGTTGCTTCAATATATCCACATAATTTTCCTTCCTCATGATGCCATCTATTTTTTGAAGTGCACCAGTCCCTCCCCCCAATTTCATGACTACCCCATGAAGCTGGTTGAGAGAATGCCAAGAGTGTCATCAAGGCAAAGGGTGGCTACTTTGAAGAATCTAAAATCTAAAATATATTTTGATTTGTTTAACACTTTTTTTTGGGGTTACTACATGATTCCATATGTGTTATTTCATAGTTTTGATGTCTTCGCTATTATTCTACAATGTAGAAAATAGTAAAAATAAAGAAAAACCCTTGAATGAGTAGGTGTGTCCAAACTTTTGACTGGTACTGTAAATTGGCTTAAAAATCTAAGGCAACAACCAACTTGACAGAGCTTGAGGAAATTTAAAAAGAATAATGGGCAAATATTTTTTCAGTCCAGGTGTGCAAAGCTCTAAGAGACTTACCCAGAAAGACTGACAGCTGTAAGCGCTGCCAAACTAACATGGATTGACTCAGGGGCTTGAATAATTATCGAATCAAAAATATATTAGTATTTTATTTTCAATAAAATAAAATACAAGTTCAAATTTTTCTTCCACTTTGACAGAGTATTTTGTGTTGATCCTTGACAATGTATATTTAAACAAATAAATAATAATCTCCCCCCAATTTCTATCTTGTTTCATTGCTGCAACTCCCCAACGCACGCGGGAGGCGAAGGTCGGGTCATGCGTCCTCCGAAACATGACCCGTCAAACCGCACTTCTCAATACCCGCCCGCTTAACCCGGAAGCCAGCTGCACCAATGTGTCGGAGGAAACACTGTTCAACTGAAAACCGAGGTCAGCCTGCAGGCGCCCGGCCCTCCACAAGGAGTCGCTAGAGCGGGATGAGCCAAGTAAACCCTCCCCTAACCCGGACGACGCTGGGCCAATTGTGCACCGCCCTATGGGACTCCTGATCACGGCCGGTTGTGATACAGCCCGGGATCAAACCCGGGTCTGTAGTGACGCCTCTAGCACTGCGATGCAGTGCCTTAGACCGCTGCGCCACTCGGGAGGCCCTTGACAATTGTTTTTACAATAAAATCATGTAAAAAATCTGTTTCTCATTTATTTAGCTTACCATTGCTCACTCTAGATGTTATAAATCCAGTTAAGTTTTCTTAATCATAATTCGATAATTCCCTTTTCCCTTCTTCCTCCCCCCATCCAGCTCTTGTCTTTCAGTTCCCCACAACCCCTCTCCGACCAAACACCATACCCCACAAGCAAGGATGAAGAAGACAATTCCCCTACACCCTCCCAGCCTGTCTTGCTGCAGCGCCAAGACTCGGGCGCCCGCAGCAGCATTAAGGGTATCCTCAAAAAGAGTCGTTCCACTAGTGTCGAGTCAGACTACAGCGAGGGAGGGGCCCCTGAAAGCACCCCCACCACCGGGGTGGTCCGACAAACCAGCGTCACCCTGAGCCACCCCGAGAGCGACGAGGAAGAGGAGGAGGAGAAAGAGGAGGTGGAAGAAGAGGAGGATGAGGTGTGTTTTCTTACCTCTTATTATGTAAAACAGTTTGAGTATCTGAATTTATATACATCTCTATATAATTTCCATTGAACATGCGTTTTAGTCTAGGACTGGGCTCAATCTGTGCCTGGGAAATTGGCCCTATGTAATATAGTCTCCACACTAGTTTCCCACTATGAGCATCTGGAATTGATAAATCGCCCTTAGTCAGTTAAAATTGCAAGATCAAATTGTTCCGATGATAATACCCACCAGAGGGCGAAATCGTCTTGGAAAAGTTGGTTGCAATCAGGACTAAAAGATAACCCCGACATTCACTTTATGGCGCGGTAAACCGGTGACTGATGATGGTTGCAATTAAGATCAGCTGTGCGGGTGATTTTAGCTTGTGTTGATGGTTTAACGAGAGATCAGCCCAATCAATAATGATTGTTATTATTACAGGAAGATGAGACGATAGTGGACGATAGCCCTGACGGAGGGTGTTTCAGTACCCCCCGGATGCAGAGGGGCAATGGGCGTGGTGGTAGCAGTAGTTCAGGGGAGGACCTCCAGAGCCGGACCCCCTCTCCAGACGAGAGCCTGGGGGAGGAAGAGATGGAGAAGATGTCGTCGGTGGACACGGAAGATGGAGAAGATCAGGATGTGGATAGCAGTCTGGACAGCAGTGTGGGGTCATCCCTGAAAGAGAGGTACAGTAGGGGAAGTTTAAATGCATGCACGCACACACGCAGACACTCACATACGTGTTCATTTTGTAGACATCGCCTACCTATCATAAAACAAATGACTGATACAGGTCTGCGCACTTCATACGTAGACATTTAGAGCACACCTACCTACAGTGTCTTTTGTATAAACATACTGTAAAATGCATATTCTATGATATTGTATAAATACAATATGTATACTTACAATTCAGATGGAGTCTTTCACACTTTGTGTGTTACTCTGTTTGAAATATAGCCTATAAATTACATGTGACTGTCTTGGCTAGTAAGGCCTACATTTACTGACCTCCTCTCCTTCTCCCAGGTTGGCTGAGTTGAACAGTGGCGAGGAGGAGTGGAAGGCCAAGCTGAAGAAGCCCAAGGATCTGGTGCAGAAGTCCCTGGCTGACCGTTTCAACCAGCTCCAGGACTCTGGAGATGCCTGGAAGAAGAAGGTAAGCTTGGGCCTCTGTGACTGGAGCTGTTTGTTGGGCTAGGATTGAGGCTCGATTTGGGGATTGACGGAGGGATGGAGAAACTCTGGGTCGGACAAGGTTAATGACTGGAGGCCTCTGAAGCCTGGGCCTCTGGTAGTGATCGCGACCCAGGAAATGTGACCTGTCTGTAAAGACTGAGGCTCGGTCTGGGTTTTGTGGTGGAAATGTGCTGAAAGCTTGTTTTCCTGTGTGTGGTGCAAAGAAGAGTAGGGTGGGGAAGACGAGGAAGACGGGGGGAGTGTAGTAGGGTGGGGAGGAGGATGAGGAAAGGGTAAGTGTGGCTGAGGTGGGGAGGGGGAGTGTGGTGGGATGGGTGGGGAGGAGATGTGATGTGGGGAGGGAGATTTGGGAGTGGCGGGCGTTGATCCCAAATCCAGGGCTTAGCCATGCAGCCTCCCAGAGAGAGAGACACTCGTAAAAATAAAATACCACGCAGCACAGGGTGTTTCCTGTGGCTCTCCTCTCCTCCCACGAGCTGGTCTCTACTTCCTGTTCTCTCTCCCTTTATTTGTCTTTCTCACTTTCTCTCCTACACATACATATACACCCTCTCCCTGTCTCTCACTCATAGAAATAAGAAATGAAAGTTCTCTCTGTACTTTTCTGTGCTACACACACACTCTCTCTATCTCTCACACACATAGAGACAAGTATAATTTCCTGCTCATACTAAAATATGTTCAGTCTCTCCATCCGCTCTCATTCATACACTCTTTTTCCATCTCTCTCTCTTTCACTCACACCAAACTCCCTTACCTAATCAATCTCTCTGTCTCTACCTCCCTCTACATCTCATGTGCACTCTCTCCATTTTGTTTTCCAACTCTAAATGCATCATCATTTTACTCATTAAATGACTTTGTATATGGCACATATTTGTGGAACTCTTCACAAATCCCCAGAACATTCAGTAGGACACTAGAAATTATGTCATCTTTATTCATATGGATGGACCATCTTTCTAGGCTTCAACATGACACACAAGCCTCGATGGGTTTACTGGTTGTGGTGAAGCTTCCATCCAAGAGTAGCCGCCAACTTCCCTATAAATCCACTCTTAGCCTGAAAAGCGCATCTCAAGTGTTCACCGAGAGCGAAAGCATTCTCAACATAAAACCCCGAAACATTCAATTGGGCTCCAGAAATGATGTAATCTTCCTTTATACAGACGGTCCCTTAACTATTTTTATATCAACTTTATTTAACCATGCAGTTCCATTAAGGTCAGAATACCTATTTCCCAAGGGAGACCGGACTGTTAATCCAATTTATGTCTATAATTTGTGGATAAATCCACAGTTAACCTGAAAAGTGCATTTGAGGCATTCACAGACAGCCCAGCAACGTCCCAGGAAAAAATTGGCTGCAAAGCTTCCAATATGCCTGTGGATTCCTTCCTTTAATCCATCTGAGGTCATTACTGGTGAATTGGACTGGAACCCATCATGATGCAGCTGTCAGCACTGCAGAGAGAGAGAGAGGGAGCACACGTTTATAAGGAGGCTAGCTCCCACCAGAGCCAAGGTTTGGAATGTGTATGGCGACCATATTGACACCACAATTAAGAGGTAAGCATGCCAATTAGAATTTGGTGCCAACATGGAGGATAGTTTGACAAATTGTGTGTTAATGGCTCTGGCTCTGGCTCTGGTTTGGTGGTGCTCCTGATATTGGAATGTGGAGGTCTGGAGGGTGCCAGTGTTTCCCCTAATATAGTCGTCCCCCCGTCCCCCCCGCCACCTGAAAGAGTTTGGCTTCCATTGGTATCAATTGATCATTTTGATAACAAATTTGACCCCGAATGAAACAGCATGAAAACTGTCAAGAGAGCTAGGAGGGGGGAAATTAAGTGTATTCAATCAATAATCAATTCAGTCATTATTCCAGATACTGTCATTTTTTACTCTAGGTAGCACCTTTGGTTTTCCAGGCACACGTTTAGGAAAAACAGGAACTCTCCTCTGAGTCACTGTGTAACCGAGCTGGAACAGATGTTGCTCTTTCGTCGTCGTCGTCAGGAGAACGGGGCATGGCACATACACCGCCGCCACCTTCTCTCAGAAGCTACAGATGTTTCCTGTTAGGGCAGCATTTTCCACTCTGGTGTCATTTTTTTATTTGAAATGCTATTGGCTGTCACTTATTAGTGTACTCTACATGCAAAGTTCTAATGTCATTCAGTGGAGTAAGCTTTCGTAGCTAAAATGCTAGTTCTCATATTGAATCCCAATGTGACTTGTTGCTGGGTTAATACTTGACCAGAGCTTTGCAGAATTCAGTGTTCCGAATACTTTTGTGTAGATAAGATGGGTACTCCAGCCTTGCTATGTTCCCCTCTACCTAAAAATAATTTGACCTAAATTGGTGACATTGAAATGTTATGTTAAAGAGGTCCTGGATGTTGATTTTATGGGTGCTTTGCGGTGCCCTGCCTGGAAAATAATCTAGCTAGGGGAAACACTGGCTAATCCTTTTATATTTTTTTACATCAACAAAGACAACAAAGCTTATGAAATTCATTCTCACCTCTCCCAACGTGTAGTAAACCTGTGCAAGTCACGCTCCAACTTTCCCCTCTTGACTCGCCAGTAACTGGAGGTCTGCCTGACATCTGTCGACTAGGCTATAGACGGATTGGTTGTTTAGCAACAAAACTGATGTGTGCACAACTATGGGCAAAACAGATGTGGTTGGCTTAGATTGTTGATAACATGTCAACTATATTTCGTCTCCAATGTTTATTGAAAACATACATTTGCACACTGAGCACTCTCTCTCAAAAACATTGTTACAGTTGTTGGTTAGCTTGCTAGCAAATTGTAGCCATATTAGCATAGACATGGTATCAAGAACAAGATCAAATGAGCTGAAACAAGCCACTTTCGATTCACCACATGGCAGGTTCTTGTCATTGTTGGTAGCTGGCCATCCAGAATCATAATAACACACAGCTTCTACCCCTTTGAAGTGCGTGCATCGTTTTCGTGACGTTGTCTGTCAGCTAACCCATCTATAACAGCCCTAGAGTGAAAAACATAAATGTAATGACATTTAGTACTCACAGGTTGCCTCCAGTGCCATAACAATGAGCTCACCGCAACGATGTAACCCCCCGCCCCCGCCCACTCCCACCTGCCTGGGCTTGGGATTGGTTGATTTGGAGGAACAGTCTTGTCTGTGGAGATCAAAAACTTGCAGGTTGAAAGACGAGGGCCATATGCTAGGTCTGCAAGGGTCGAGTCTGTCTTACAAGTCATCTGTTGTGTGTAGATTCTGTTATATTCGTTGGGAGAACCTGGGTAACCATTTACTTAAAGCCTGCAGGTATTATGCAGTTATAATGCATTGTAGTACTGTCACGCCATACACAACCCTCTTACTCATACTGATCCTGACTAAATACCACACATTTTGAGTCTTGAAATGCTGATACATAGGGACTTAAAATATTATAAGTGTTATTATGAGATTTTATAAAGACATGCATACATACTTATAACAAGTTATAAAGCATTATACCTGCAGGCTTACTAAAGTGTTACCAAAGCCTGCAGGCCTCAATCCCAAATGGGAAAGATGGGCACCATCTAATTTTACATTTTAGTCATTTAGCAGACGCTCTTATCCAGAGCGACTTACATTTAGTGAGTGCATACATTTTCATACTGGCCCCCCGTGGGAATCAAACCCACAATCCTGGCGTTGCAAGCGCCATGCTCTACCAACTGAGCTACACAGGGCCTCATCTAATCAAGTATCCCCCTCTTCTCACTGAATAGGTCCACCTTTTCACCTCCCTCTCTACTTTCCCCTCTCTCTTCCCACATTCCCTCATAGGTTGGGAATGACTCCTGTTGCTTCTCTGCATGGTCTCAAATCCCAATTTCCTCCCAGTCCAGCTGTGGTCTTGCCGGATATTAAGGATGACCCCCCCCCCTCTCCTCTCCTCTCCCCCCTCTCCCCTCTTCCTCCCCTGCTTCCACCTCATGACCTTTTCCTCATCTCTGCATGAGACCCTGCCTTTTCTGTCAACCCTACACACTACTCAGGTGAGTTAGTAGGCGCGTCTGTGTGTGTGTCTAATGTCTCTCTGTGTGTGTGTACACGCCTAGTGGGTGTGTGTGTGCGCGCTTGTATGTACATCTCAATGCCTGTGTGTGTGTTTGTATGGGCACCTCCAATGTGTGTGCGCGTCTAATGTCTCTGTGTGTGTGCGCCTAGTGTGTGTGTGTGTGCGACCGAGCGCTTGTATGTACGTCTGTGTCTGGGTTTGTATGTGCACCTCGTGTGTGTGTGTGTGTGTGTGTGTGTGTGTGTGTGTGTGTGTGTGTGTGTGTAGCGGTGTATAGTAAGTAGGGCGATATGCCCAAAATAGCATATCAAAATATTTTTTTTACTTTTGACTGTATGATGGTATTTGAAGGTATGTTGACAATACGTTTTCAAATTATACAATTTCTAGGGTGGCAACACATACACTACCGTTCAAAAGTTTGGGGTCACTTAGAAATGTCCTTGTTTTCGAAAGAAAAGCTATTTTCTTGTCCATTAAAATAACATCAAATTGATCAGAAATAATGTGTAGACATTGTTAATATTGGAAATACTATTGTAGCTGGAAACGGCTGATTTCTTTATGGAATATCTACATAGCCGTACAGGGGCCCATTATCAGCAACCATCAGTCCTGTGTTCCAATGGCACGTTGTGTTTGCTAATCCAAGTTTATCATTTTAAAAGGCTAATTGATCATTACAAAACCATTTTGCAATTATGTTAGCACAGCTGAAAACAGTTTTTCTGATTAAAGAAGCAGTAAACCTGGCCTTCTTGAGACTAGTTGAGTATCTGGACCATCAGCAATTGTGGGTTCGATTACTGACTCAAAATGGCCAGAAACAAAGAATTTTCTTCTGAAACTCGTCAGTCTATTCTTGTTCTGAGAAATGAAGGCTATTCTATGCGAGAAATTGCCAATAAACTGTGTACTACTCCCTTCACAGAACAGCGCAAACTGGCTCTAACCAGAATAGAAAGAGGAGTGGGAGGCCCCGGTGCACAACTGAGCAAGAGGATAAATACATTAGTGTCTAGCTTCATTAAATAGTACCTGCAAAACACCAGTCTCAACGTCAACAGTGAAGAGGCGACTCCGGGATGCTGACCTTCTAGGCAGAGTTGCAAAGAAAAAGCCATATCTCAGACTGGCCAATAAAAAGAAAATATTAAGATGGGCAAAAGAACACAGACACTGGACAGAGGAAGATTGGAAAAAAGTGTTATGGACAGACTAATTGAAGTTTGAGGTGTTCGGATCACAAAGAAGAACATTTGTGAGACGCAAACTAAATGTAAAGATGCTGGAGGAGTGCTTGATACCATCTGTCAAGCATGGTGGAGGCAATGTGATGGTCTGGGGGTGCTTTGGTGGTGTTAAAGTGGGAGATTTGTATAGGGTAAAAGGGATCTTGAAGAAGGAAGGCTATCACTCCATTTTGCAACGCCATGCCATACCCTGTGGACGGCGCTTGATTGGAGCCAATTTCCTCCTACAACAGGACAATGACCCAAAGCACAGCTCCAAACTATGCAATAACTATTTAGGGAAGAAGCAGTCAGCTGGTATTCTGTCTATAATAGAGTGGCCAGCACAGTCACCGGATCTCAACCCTATTGAGCTGTTGTGGGAGCAGCTTGACCGTATGGTACGTAAGAAGTGCCCATCAAGCCAATCCAACTTGTGGGAGGTGCTTCAGGAAGCATGGGGTGAAATCGTCGTCCAGGGTAGGGGAGGGAATGGCCGGCAGGGATGTAGCTCAGTTGGTAGAGCATGGCGTTTGCAACGCCAGGGTTGTGGGTTCGATTCCCATGGGGGGCCAGTATGAAAAATATAATGTATGCACTCACTAACTGTAAGTCGCTCTGGATAAGAGTGTCTGCTAAATTACTAAAATGTAAAATGTTTCCTGTGGGTCTCAGTCGCTGGGGTCCTGTATGGGCAAGGTATTTGCCCTTACTGATCGACTCCAGAGTTGTGCTGTGGGGCTGGGTTAAGGGGTACTGATGGGTGTGTAGTGTGTATTTTTGCAACCCAAAGCTGGGTTGTGTGGTACTGCAGAGTGTAGTGTGTGTATTTGGGTGTGTTTAACCAACAACGTGCTATGTACGTACCCCTATTTGTGCCCCTATGCAGTGAGTATTTTGTAAGCCAAAGCATGGGCATGGCTTTGTGTGCAGTCAGTGTGTTTATTTTGTATTTGTGTGTATGTAGCCCTTTCCTGCAGTCAAATGACCTCATGGCCTCATGGGTGGAATGGTATTAATATGTTTAATAATTTCATAATTAATAAACATTATTATTTTTTTAAACGCCGTAAATCCAGTGTTAAAATGTCAAACGGTGTTGTTATATTTCAGTCTTCTGTGATGTATATAAAGTGTAATATTGGGATGCAAACTCAATGTTATACATTTCAACTCTACATCTGACATGGTACAGGTGTCTTCTTTTTTTTATGCCCATAACCTTGTGTGTGAGGTATATACTTTTATTTCAAAGTACACTATATATACAAAAGTATGTGGACACCCCTTCAAATGAGTGGATTAGGCTATTTCAGCCACAACCGTTGCTGACAGGTGTATAGAATCAAGCACACAGCCATGCAATCTCCATAGACAAACATTGGCAGTAGAATGGCCTTACTGAAGAGCTCAGTGACTTTCAACGTGGCACCGTCATAGGATGCCATCTTTCCAACAAGTCAGTTCGTTAAATGTATGCCCTGCTAGAGCTGCCCCGGTCAACTGTAAGTGCTGTTATTGTGAAGTGGAAACTTCTAGGAAAAATCAACGGCTCAGCCGCGAAGTGGTAGGCCACACAAGCTCAAAGAACGGGACCGCCGAGTGCTGAAGCGGGTAGCGCGTAACAATCGTCTGTCCTCGGTTGCAACACTCACTACAGAGTTACAAACTGCCTCTGTAAACAACATCAGCACAATAACTGTTCGTTGGGATCTTCATGAAATGAGTTTCCATTGTCGAGCAGCCGCGCACATGCCTAAGATCTCCATGTGCAATGCCAAGCGTCGGCTGGAGTGGTGTAAAGCTCACCGCCATTGGACTCTGGAGCAGTGGAAACGCGTTCTCTGGAGTGATGAATCACGCTTCACCGTCTGGCAGTCCGACAGACGAATTTGTGTTTGGCGGATGCCAGGAGAACGCTACCTGCCCGAATGCATAGTGCCAACTGTAAAGTTTGGTAGAGGAGGAATAATGGTCTGGGGCTGTTTTTCATGGTTCGGGCTAGGCCCCTTAGTTCCAGTGAAGGGAAATCTTAATGATACAGCATACAATGACATTCTAGACGATTCTGTGCTTCCAACTTTGTGGCAACAGTTTGGGGAAGGCCCTTTCCTGTTTCAGCATTACAATGCCCCGTGCACAAAGTGAGGTCCAAACAGAAATGGTTTGTGGAAGAACTTGACTGGCCTGCACAGAGCCCTGACCTCAACCCCATCGAAAACCTTTGGGATGAATTGGAACGCCGACTGTGAGCCAGGCCTAATCGCCCAACATCAGTGCCCGACCTCACTAATCCTCTTATGGCTGAATGGAAGCAAGTCCTCGCAGCAATGTTCCAACATCTAGTGGAAAGCCTTCCCAGAAGAGTGGAGGCTGTTATAGAAGCAAAGGGGGAACCAACTCCATATTAATGCCCATGATTTTTGACGAGCAGGTGTCCACATAATTTTGATCATGTAGTAGATTTTGTTTAAGACTACACTCTGTGTGACCCTGATTTTGCCCACTGCAGTAAATTAACCAACAATATGGTACTGTGTAGCCCTTTACAGTTACAGTATTTCAAAGCAAATTGTGTGTATGAGTGTGTATAGAGCTTCATGCCATGCGTTTGCATACCTCTGCATGTAAAATATGGGTGATTCCATGGGAAAGTCAACATAAGCATGTACCAATAAAGTTAATAAATTTCCAAATGAAACCACGTTCATAATTATCCTCAATATGTTGGAGTTCAGGCTTTATTTGATCAGTTAAAGTAGGAAATTGCATGGATTTTGAACATTACAGAGTAGTAGACCAACTCTCAAATAAGGCTTTTCAGTCTATCATATTTCAAGAGTTTTAGAGCAGGCTCACAGAGCTTGTATTTCCACTCACAGCTGTCCCCCCATGGCAATGTGTAGAATAGCAGGAAAATATTTTAAAACGGGCGGGGGCACTTGCTCAGATCTTTACACACATGTGTTTGTGTGTAAAAAAAAAAAAAAAACTAATAATGAAATGTTAAAATACCTATCACATTACACATTCAGTAATGACAGCATTTGTTTTCCAAACTGTATGTTTTATTGCATAATTTGTAGTTTGTAATTTGCGAAAGGCAAACTGACAGCCACAACCAACCATAGACATATAATACATAGATGGCAGTTCCCATTCAAGTCAAGACTGGCAGCCATTGCTATAGTGTACCTTACATTTACGTCATTTAGCAGACACTCTCTTATCCAGAGCGACTTACAAATTGGTGCATTCAACTTATGATAGCCAGTGGGACAACCACTATTTTTTTTTTGGGGGGGTAGAAGGATTACTTTGATACTATTCCAGGTATTCCTTAAATAGGTAGGGTTTCAAGTGTCTCCGGAAGGTGGTCAGTGACTCCGCTGTCCTGGCGTCGTGGGGGAGCTTGTTCCACCATTGGGGTGCCAGAGCAGCGAATAGCTTTGACTGGGCTGAGTGGGAACTGTGCTTCTGTAGAGGTAGGGGGGCTAGCAGGCCAGAGGTGGATGAACGTAGTGCCCTCGTTTGGGTGTAGGGTCTGATAAGAGCCTGAAGGTAAGGAGGTGCCGTTCCCCTCACAGCTCCGTAGGCAAGCACCATGGCCTTGAGTTTAACAGTTACATTTCCAAGGTTAGAGGTTCCAAAACCAAAAACCTGTGCAACAAGCTGTTCCCCAGATAGAAGGAGTGATAGGAGTGGGAAAAAGGTGCTTGTGCATTGATAAGAACACCAAAGACTGTATTAACAATAATAAAGTAAAGATGCCACTTTTAAAATCCTATTTCTGTTTTGATTTCGGTACAAATGAAAATATGGCACTGACTCGCCCATGGATTAATGTTTCAGCACTTTCTCAATGAAGTGTTCAGCATTCGATTAGCCATGTGCGACATGCACAAGCAGTTACAAGCCTGCTATCAGCTGGTGGACAAACAATATCCACTGTTGTAGTACGGATGAAACCTGACCTTGAATGTGAAGCTGAAGCTGTCTAGCTTTATAAAAGCCTGAGTAGATCTAGCTTGCTTCGTAGTATACCACTCTGGAGTGTCTTTTTCAAACAAAAGCCCTCCAAAATATACTGACTTCATCCAGTGTCACGAAAAGTGGATTGGCAGTATAGGCACATTAATATGGTCTCATTTGCATATTTCAACAACAACAAATTATACACAAATGTTTTATTTGTCTACATTCAACTGGTAAAGGCTAATTTTGATATACACTACCAGTCAAGTTTGGACACACCTACAGTACTCATTCCAGGGTTTTTCTTTATTTTTACCAAAAAGGTGTTAAACGAATCAAAATATATTTGAGATTCTTCAAATAGCCACACTTTGCCTTCATGACAGCTTTGCACATTCTTGGCATTCTCTCAACTAGCTTCACCTGGAATGCTTTTCCAACAGTTTTGAGAGAGTTCCCACATTTGCTGAGCACTTGTTGGCTGCTTTTCCTTCTCTCTGCGGTCCGACTCATCCCAAACCATCTCAATTGGGTTGAGGTCGGGGGATTGTGGAGGCCAGGTCATCTGATGCAGCACTCCATCAGTCTCCTTACACAGCCTGGAGGTGTGTTGGGTCATTGTCCTGTTGAAAAGTTATACTCCCACTAAACCCAAACCAGATGGGATTTCATATCGCTGTAGAATGCTGTGGTAGCCATGTTGGTTAAGTGTGCCTTGAATTCTAAATAAATCACAGACTGTGTCACCCGCAAAGCACCCCCACACCATAACACCACCTCCTCCATGCTTTACGGTGGGAACTAAACATGCGGATATCATCCCTTCACCCACACCGCATATCACAAAGACACAGCAGTTGGAACCAAAAATCTCCAATTTGGACTCCAGACCAAAGGACACATTTCCACCGGTCTAATGTCCACTGCTCGTGTTTCTTGGCCAAAGCAGATCTCTTCTTATTATTGGTGTCCTTTAGTAGTGGTTTCTTAGCAGCAATTCGACCATGAAGGCCTGATTCACACAGTGTCCTCTGAAAAGTTGATGTTGAGATGTGTCTGTTGCCATAATATGGACTTGGTATTTACCAAATAGGGCTATCTTCTGTATACCCCCCCCCCCTCCCCTCCCCCCACACCTTGTCACAACACAACTGATTGGCTCAAATGCATTAAGAAGGAGGAAAGAAATTCCATAAATTAACTTTTAAGAAGGCACACCTGTTAATTGAAAAGCAATTGACTACCTCATGAAGCTGATTGAGAGAATGCCAATAGTGTGCAAAGCTGTCATCAAGGCAAAGGGTGGCTATTTGAATAATATATTTTCATTTGTTTAACACTTTTTTGGTTACTACATGATTCCATATGTGATATTTCATAGTTTTGATGTCTTCACTATTATTCTACAATGTAGAAAATTTTAAAAATAAAGAAAAACCCTGGAATGAGTAGGTGTGTCCAAACTTTTGACGGGTACTGTATATAATTTATATATAAAGACAAAACAATGACCTGTTAGTGTGTGGTGCCTGGTCTTGTATAGTATTCAGGCTACCTCTATTTATGCAATCCTAAGGTACTATGCCTTCTGCTCACATTTTAAAAACATTCCAAATGACAACAAATGTGTTATGATAGATTTTGATCAAGAAATCTTTAAGATTTGAATGTCTATTTCAGACCCTGTAACATCCATAACGGTCGTTTTTCCTCTCTAAAGTAAAAATGGAAATGACAATCTTTTCGAAATTATTGTTTTTGTAATCAACCAAGCCTTTCCTTCAAAATGGCTATCCATGTTTTGACCCAAGACTTTCAAACTCAGACCTTTTCTAATATGTTCAGGTGTGGGTCTGTCGAGCGTGGAGACGTGATGTTATATGGAGCCTTGGGGCCTGAAACCCTATCTCTTTTATGTCTGCATATAACACTTACTTATACTCACATAGACCGTTTAGCTGTCCGCTAAAGCTGAACTGTCTTAGTCATTCTGTTCATATTTATATTTATTATAATTCAATGTATATATATCTTGCTCTATTTCTATGTAATATCAACTGTCTCAATAATCTAGATTGGGACCAATGCATTACCTACAGTTGAAGTCGGAAGTTTACATGCACTTAGGTTGAAGTCATTAAAACTCGTTTTTCAACCACTCCACAAATGTCTTGTTAACGAACTATAGTTTTGGCAAGTCGGTTAGGACATCTATTTTGTGGATGACACAAGTCATTTTTACAACAATTGTTTACAGACAGATTATTTCACTTATAATTCATTGTATCACAATTCCAGTGGGGGTCAGAAGTTTACATGAAAATTATGTCATGGCTTTAGAAGCTTCTGATAGGCTAATTGACATCATTTGAGTCAATTGGAGGTGTACCTGTGGATGTATTTCAAGGCCTACCTTAAAATTCAGTGCCTCTTTGCTTGACATCATGGGAAAATCTAAAGAAATCAGCCAAGACCTCAGAAAATAATTGTAGACCTCCACAAGTCAGGTTCATCCTTGGGAGCAATTTCCAAACGCCTGAAGGTACAACGTTCATCTGAACAAACCATAGTATGCAAGTATAAACACCATGGGACCACGCAGCCATCATACCGCTCAGGAAGGAGACGCGCTCTGTCTCCTAGAGATGAACGTACTTTGGTGCGAAAAGTACAAATCAATCCCAGAACAACAGCAATGGACCTTGTGAAGATGCTGGAGGAAACAGGTACAAAAGTATCTATATCCACAGTAAAACAAGTCCTATATCTACATAACTTGAAAGGCCGCTCAGCAAGGAAGAAGCCACTGCTCCAAAACCGCCATAAAAAAGCCAGACTATGGTTTGCAACTGCACATGGGGACAAAGATCGTACTTTTTGGAGAAATGTCCTCTGGTCGGATTAAACAAAAATAGAACTGTTTGGCCATAATGACCATTGTTATGTTTGGAGGAAAAAGGGGGTCAGCTTGCAAGCCGAAGAACACCATCCCAACCGTGAAGCACGGGGGTGGCAGCATCATGCTGTGGGGGTGCTTTGCTGCAGGAGGGACTGGTGCTCTTCACAAAATAGATGGCATCATGAAGAAGGAAAATTATGTGGATATATTGAAGCAACATCTCAAGACCTCAGTCAGGAAGTTAAAGCTTGGTCGCAAATGGGTATTCCAAATGGACAATGACCCCAAGCATACTTCCAAAGTTGTGGCAAAATGGCTTAAGGACAACAAAGTCAAGGTATTGGAGTGGCCATCACAAAGCCCTGACCTCAATCCTATAGAAAATGTGTGGGCAGAACTGAAAAAGTGTTTGCGAGCAAGGAGGCCTACAAACCTGACTCATTTACACCAGCTCTGTCAGGAGGAATGGGCCAAAATTCACCCAACTTATTGTGGGAAGCTTGTGGAAGGTTTGACCCAAGTTAAACAATTTAAAGGCAATGCTACCAAATACTAATTGAGTGTATGTAAACTTCTGACCCACTGGGAATGTGATGAAAGAAATAAAAGCTTAAATAAATCATTCTCTCTACTATTATTCTGACCTTTCACATTCTTAAAATAAAGTGCTGATCCTAACTGACCTAAGACAGGGAATTTTTACTAGGATTAAATGTCAGGAATTGCGAAAAACTGAGTTTAAATGTATTTGGCTAAGGTGTATGTAAACTTTCAACTTCAACTGTATCTACCTTACTCCAGTTTCCTGGACACATTAAGCCTAGTCCTGGACTAAGCAACATGCTCAAAAGGGGAATCTGTGTCTGGGATGCCGGCCCTATGTGTTTAGGTTGGTACTCTATTGTTGAATGTATCAGTGAGTCAGTAGGCTTAGTTACTTCCTAGTTGTCAGCTTAACAAAAACTCATGCAGACTTTGACAGGCCAGGTGGTTCTAGGAGTAGTCCTTTTGATCTATGTATGTGAAACAGATGATTCCCTTCTCCGCGTGGCGCTAGGCAACATTCCCTCGACGTTCATTCAATCATTGTAGCCTGTTTTATGTTTCACAATTTTCACAATTAGCGTTAACTCTCCCCAGAGTAAATTAGCAAGATGAAATATCACATTGTTGTTCTTTTCTAATGAGTAGACAACAATTGCCATTTTGAAACCATGCAGTCTCCCGAAAGGGAGTGTTTCACAGCTCACACACACACCGTTGTACTGTACTCAGCCATTGTAAATCAAGCCAAGGCCATAAAATGCATCACGTATATTTAGTGCTGGAATATAATGAATTACTGTGCAACAGCTCGTGGGACTGGTGCCTGGAAAAATTCCACAGTAATTCATTTTAATGGTGGAATTTAGGTGCAGAAACAGCAGTGGCAATGAAGGTTAGGAATCATGTTGGAAATAATAGAAGAGCGTTTGATAAAATTCATGAGTACACATTAGTTTTTCTACCGATGGGGGAAATGGGGTAGTGTAGCTCATAAGTTTCCTTAAGACCAATGTAGTTTCGGAAATGTTCCAATATGTCTTTGTGCTCTGTTCCTCTTTGTCTCTCTCGCTGTCTCTCTCTCTCTAACCCCCCCCACCCCCTCTCTGTCTCTCTCGCTGTCTCTCTCTCTCTAACCCCCTCCCCACCCCCTCTCTGTCTCTCGCTGTCTCTCTCTCTCTAACCCCCACCCCCTCTCTGTCTCTCTCTTGCTCTCTCCCACACTCTTTGTCTCCAACGTTCAGCCGTAGAAATAGCCCAATATTCTCACAAAAATCCAGGTACGATGCTGTAACACGTGTCAACACATGCATTTGTAAAGTATGTCACGCTGCTTGCTTAGCGAGTGCCACTTCCTCCCGGTTCGGCCCATTCCTGGCACGAACTCGGGACCTCTACCTTGCCAGCACACGTGACTGCCTTCCTGAATCGTCTTACCAATCGGCGCCACGCGAAAGGCTAGCTATTCGCTGGCACAGGTCACACATCCCCATGTGCTACACATTCATTAGCCTATTTCTAACCTGTATCCCCTCTCCATCCCTCTCTCCTTCCTCTCCCTTCCCACATCAGAAGTCCAGTGCAGACGTGGAGACCAAGATGTCCCTGGCGGACAGGATGAAGATCCTGCAGGAGAAGGAGGAGGCATGGAAGAGCAGGGGGCGTGGCGCCGCCAACGACTCCACCCAGTTCACTGTGGCCGGGCGCATGGCCAAGAGAGGTCCGAGTCAGACATGCCCCCTTCTATCAGACAAACCCCTTATCACACCTATTGCTCCATACAATGGGCATGCTGCTCCACACACGCAGGCTGTTTTTATATGGGCTAATCCAATTGTATGTGGAGTGTGCTTAGAAAATGCAGCTTGGAAATACTATATTTAAGAGTATTTACTCACACTTCATATAAATTGCAGAAGGCCACTTTGACGTCAATATGACCCCAGTGTTCTTTCCCATCAGGTCTTGTGTCGGAGACTGGTAAAGAGGAGTCTCCCATTTCCCACATTAAGAAGTCCAGCGCCACGCCAGTCAAGCCACATGAAGGTATACTATGTTCTCCTTTTGATGATTTGATAGACTGTCTGGCCTAGTTTTGGATGGTCATATGTAGTCTAAACATTTTCAGTCAGAATTTTCTGGGGCACTTAAGGGATAGTGTGAAATTTTGGCAATTAAGCCGCCCTTTTTCTACTCGAGCCTATTCTATCTAGTGTTAGCGCAATGACTGGAAGACTACCAGAAGCATGGCAGGCTTAAGGGCATAATTGCCAAAATCTCACACTATCCCTTTAAACCTCTGCTTGCTATTTGAAGTACCATTTTCCTTGACTCCTAAACCTAGGAAACTAACCATACATCAAGTGACCTGTTGTCAAAATGGCCGTCTGTATGTTGTCATCTCTTTCGCTGAGCAGAAATCTCCACTCCGAGTGGCGTCAAGGTGGAAGGGGACAAGAGGCTGGACAAGTTAGAGTCCTTCCTGGACAAGCTCCACAGTAAAGGTAAATCCCACACACTGACACTATTCGGTTTCACCATGGCCACATTTTTTGTTATGACACCTTTTAAAAATAAAGCCACTATCAGGTTTCTCCATAGGCACACTTTTTGTCATGACACCCTTTGCGCCATAGAACCTTGAAAATCGACAGACTCAACACACAATTCCCAATAAATAAGAACGTTTCTCTCTCCTATTGACTTCTGTCGGAATCTTCCTCACACTCGTAGGAGTTACAGGAAGTAACTGGAATTGCTTGTTGAATTTCTCGATGTTCAAACTTCTCTGACACATTGGCTTGCAGGGCTATAGCGCGATAATGGGTAAATTGCTAATGAATCCATAATGTGTCATACACAGGGGGTTTGTAGAAAACTAGACAGTGGTGGCCTTTTGATCTACAGTGGTAAGAGTTCAGTCAAACTGGTTGAATCCTGAAAGTTCTAATTTCCTGCTTTCTGTTTCTTGCCAGGGCTGGGGCACAGCCGGACTTCCACCATCGAGGTGACTGCCGAGACGGAGAAAGAGGTCATGACCCTGGACGACGAGGAGACGTTTGGCCGCTTTTACAAGCCTGTGTCGCCCACTGCCCGAGGTGCCGGCGTTACTGCGCTGACCGAGGAGGACCTCAGCGACCTTCAAGCCGACACGCCAAAGTACGGTTCAGTCTGTCAATGTAGCAATCTGCAAACTGTATGGGAATCAGTCCTGTTATGTTGAATATAGTTCTCATGGGGAGAATAAGTCAGGGAATTCCACTGGTCAATTTGATTAGATGAGTGTGCTGATCTACTAGAGTAGTTGGTACTTGAGGTGAGATTTGGAAACACTGTGTTAACATAAAAAAAATGTAGATAGTAGTTTTAGTTTAGTCTTTTTTCCCCAGATTCATTTAGGCAAATTGCTCTTCTTTATTAATTCCTACGAGCATGACTATACAGAACCTTCCATGACTATACAGAACCTTCCATGCCAATGTACTTTGAGATGTACTGTACAATTTCACTTGATCATTGTGGGGGCCATAGGCATTGATTGAAGCTCAATGTTAAATGCAAATCTCCCTACCATCATATCTAAGCCAATATGACACCAATCTTGATGAAAATTCGCAAATCAACTTGATTGGAGGTACACAACACACTCCCCGCCACTCGTCACGGCCGTTACCGAGAACCACCTACCGGATTTTTAAAAAGGGTTGTTAGCAATTGATTTTTAAGACTATTTCTTGCACCTACCTAGCTCAAATTCTAAACGTCGGATTAAAACGAGACTATAGCGTCCTTAAAGTTACCATTGGACTTTAAAAAATGCCAGATTTACCAAATGTGTAGGTGCGCAGTTTTTATAAAATGTATAATTTATCGCTCTCACATGCACATTTCCATCCGTTAAGAAACAACAATGTGCTACCTTTCTGTAGCATTTATGACAATGCAAAAAAAAAATAGCCGAAGCTTAGTTCTATAACATCGGGTCGGTTGCTCGGCAACAACACAGCTGCTTGCACCATGCTGCCAGTCATAAGAAGTGTATGCGAACAAACCTAGGCTACTGTATATAGCTAGAAATATGGCGGTATTCAAGCCGAGGTTAATCAATAAATGCAAACAGGTAACTAGCTAATGTTGAGTAGCTGAAGTTAGCTTGCTTGTACAAACTCCAGCAGCTAGCCTCTGTAGCTAGCTAACACCAGTCAGCTGAAAGCTAGCTAGCTAATGAACAGGTAAATAAAGGTAAACTAGCGAACGTCCTTGGCTGCTATGATAGCCAATTAACTTTAGCTAGCTAAGTAATCTTAGCCAACATAAGATTGTAACGTTAGCTAACATGTATGGCCAGTTCATGCACCAAAATAGCTCACAATAGAGATCTTACACAAAACATAACTAGTTAGTTACGTTAAGTTTAAAATCACCAAACTTTAGGAAACTGCCATGCTACTCACGTTCATTTGCATTGCACAGACCATATTTCAGACAGGACAAACACTGCTGTTATCTATGCTACATTTCCTCGAAGAACAACCAAGACCACACAAACCATAGCCGAGAAAACGAATTGTTTTGTTAAAAAACAGTAAGCTAGTTATGAACCGCATATAGTTAATGGTGGAACCCCAAACGCACACCTTAGTTGTGCATGCTAGCATCAATTTACCAGACTCGACTGACAGCATTACTGTTTCAAACATGTAGAATAAATTCCAGCTCCGGCATAAACTCTCTCTCCTGCTGTCTTGTCATTATTATAATCCACATTTGTGCTTACTGATCAACAGTGTCAAGTTACTTTTCAGTGTGTTCAAGTAAAATCTGAAGTCGCCATGCACAAGTGAAAAGTAGTCAGGGGGGTGCACGAGGGTAAAATAACAACATCATAATAACTCCTAACGCTAACCTTAACCCCTAGCCTAGTTAACATTAGCCACCTAGCTAACGTTAGCAACAACAAATTGGAATTCGTCACACAATACGTATTGGAAATTCATAACATATTGTACGAATTGAAATTCATAACATATCATACGAATTGCAATTCATAACGTGTCATACAAATTGTAATATGTAACATATCATGCGAAATAGATTATGGAAAGCCACAAATTAAAACATACCATACATATCATACGAAATGTTATGAGATCAGGTTGCCGCACAGCCAGCCAGCAACGTGCAGTCAAAAGAAAAGGAAATTAATGCTACTTGATTAAATGTTTGTTTTCACCAAATAAGTTAAATAAACATGCAATTACGCTTCCAGACATTTAAATAGTATGTTGAAGTCATTTATTAAGAATTGTTGAAGTCATTTATTAAGAATTTATTATGTAATTGTTAGTGTTCCCGCTTGTGGATTAGAACATTGCAGGTTCGACTCCTGGAGGAGATATTTTGACCATTCTTTCGTTAAACCTCTTAGATGTAAAGTCCCCGGTTTAGTGGACCTGCGTGGTTCTGGTACCGGTTCCGACCAATATTTTCGCTTATAAATCGATCTATGGACACCGTACTCTCCTTCTCCGCTCTTCTTGGCATTTTAATCCACGTGTGTTCTTCTTCAGTGGGGTTTATCAGTGGTTGGCATCCAACGTTATGGTGCATTACCGCCAGAGACAGGGAGAATCTAAATCCTACCTACCAGCTGCTTTGCTCTTAAAAAAGATAACAAAATATTTGACATTATGACGTTCTACTCAATATACTCTTTAAACTCATTTGCTGTATCCGCTTCTTCCTCATACCAGATCTCATCCTCTCTCTTTCCCTGTGATACTGCCCACACTGTAGCAATACATGCTCCATGGTCTCTGTTTCCTGACAATAATCACACTTTCCTGTTGGATGCTTTCCTATCACATTTAATGTCTCATTCAACTGACAGTGTCCCACCCTTAATCTTATAAAAATAGCCTCCTCTCTTCTGTCCCTTCCTGCCGTCCTCCCCGACTTTCCTCTGTACTTGAAATAAATGCCTTCCCTTATTATCTCTATTCCTCTGCTCCTGCCATCTCTGCACCATCACTGTATATATCAGTCTTTTTGCCTTGCTCATTGAAACTTCAACGTCAACATCCCCACTACTAAGTGCACTAATACCTGTCACGGTCGAGGTAAGGAGTAGACCAAGGCGCAGCGTGATGAACAAACATGACTTTAATTAGTTAAAGCGTCAAAATACAAAACAAAACACGACTCGTGATGTCCACGGTATCAATGACCGAACACGGAACAAAAACCCACAACCACAAAGGGAAAACATACAGTTTAAATATGGCTCCCAATCAGAGACAACCAGCCAACAGCTGACACTCGTTGCCTCTGATTGGGAGTCACTCAGGCAAACATAGAATACAACAAACTAGAATGAACACCAACATAGAAATACACACATAGAAATGAACACACCCTGGCTCAACATAATGAGTCCCAGAGCCAGGGTGTGACAGTACCCCCCCCCCTAAAGGCGCGGACTGCGACCGCGCCTCAACTAAACAAACCAGGGGAGGGCTGGGCGGGCATACCTCCTCGGCGGCGGTTCTGGCTCCGGCCTTGACCACCACCCTCCAATACACCCCCCATAGCGCCACTGATCCAGTCTGGCCCCGCCGGCTGGAGCAGGACTGGACTTAACAGGAGCGGTCCTTACCAGGCTGTCGACTCGCACCCCTGGCTTGGTGCGTGGAGGAGGAACGGACCTTACCAGGCTGACGACTCGCACCCCTGGCTTGGTGCGTGGAGGAGGAACAGGCCTTACCAGGCTGACGACGCGCACCCCTGGCTTTGTGCGTGGAGGAGGAACGGGCCTTACCAGGCTGACGACTCGCACCCCTGGCTTGGTGCGTGGAAGAGGGACGGGCCTTACCAGGCTGACGACTCGCACCCCTGGCTTTGTGCGTGGAGGAGGAACGGGCCTTACCAGGCTGACGACTCGCACCCCTGGCTTGGTGCGTGGAAGAGGGACGGGCCTTACCAGGCTGACGACTCGCACCCCTGGCTTAGTGCGAGTGGCAGGAACAGGCCGGGTCGGGCTGGCGACGCGCACCGTAGACTTGGTGCGGGTGGCAGGAACAGGCCGGACCGGGCTGGCGACGCGCACCGTAGGTTTGCTGCGAGTGGCAGGAACAGGCCGGGTCGGGCTGGCGACGCGCACCGTAGACTTGGTGCGGGTGGCAGGAACAGGCCGTACCGGGCTGGCGACGCGCACCGTAGGTTTAGTGCGTGGAGCAGGTACAGGCCGGGCTGGGCTGTCGACGCACACCGTAGGCTTGGTGCGTGGAGCAGGGACAGGCCGGGCTGGGCTGTCGACGCACACCGTAGGCTTGGTGCGTGGAGCAGGGACAGGCCGGACTGGGCTGGCGACGCACACCGTAGGCTTGGTGCGTGGAGCAGGGACAGGCCGAACCGGGCTGTGGAGACGGATAGGAGGCCTGGAGTGAAGAGCGGCCACCACCCGTCCTGGCTGAATGCCTACCCTCACACACTCTGTGTGAGGCATCCGCACAGGACGTACAGGGCGGTGTACCCCTGGCCTGGTGGCCTTCTGGATCTGCCCCCTTTTCTCCTCCGTCAGCCCCGTCGTCCATGCCGTGTGCCCCCCCCCTAAAAAATTTCTGGGGTTGCCTCACGACCGTCCGACGACGACCCTGATCACGCCTCCACCGTCTCTTCTCCCGGCGCTTCCTCCCATGTCCAGCCCAAGAGCTGCCCCTGGACACGCTGCTTGGTCGTTGCATGGTGGGTTTTTCTGTCACGGTCGAGGTAAGGAGTAGACCAAGGCGCAGCGTGATGAACAAACATGACTTTAATTAGTTAAAGCGTCAAAATACAAAACAAAACACGACTCGTGACGTCCACGGTATCAATGACCGAACACGGAACAAAAACCCACAAACACAAAGGGAAAACATACAGTTTAAATATGGCTCCCAATCAGAGACAACCAGCCAACAGCTGACACTCGTTTCCTCTGATTGGGAGTCACTCAGGCAAACATAGAATACAACAAACTAGAATGAACACCAACATAGAAATACACACATAGAAATGAACACACCCTGGCTCAACATAATGAGTCCCAGAGCCAGGGTGTGACAATACCTCTACCATGTGTTGGATATTTTTTTAACTCTGCCGTGCACACCTGTGTGAAGCTAGCCACAGTAAGGATTAGCCACAATAATGGAATTTGCGGTTCGCCTTCATAATAAAAGTGAGTCAAACTGATACAAATGTGGAATAATGCCATATTTAGAGTAGATAATGCTAGACAAGGTCAGAATGTTGAACAGCCCTTAGCCATGGTATATTGGTCATATACCACACCCCCTCGGCCCTTATTGCTTAATTATAATGTTGTATAATAATTTTGCATAATCACCTTCTGGTGTAAAAAACATGGAAATTAAAAAACTAAAAACAATGTTTTATGTGAGAATAGGTATTGGTCTGAAGCCGAAAAAGAAAGGAAATTCACAAATGTGTATTATTGTTGCGTCACCATCTTTATTGCAAAAAGAAATACAAGTACAAACAACTTTAAGCTACATATTATTTTGACAGAGGTAATGAACTGGCCATTATTCAGCACCGCAATTGATAAAACAGCATCATGTTTGAAACAAATGGTTCTGAACATAATTCAGTATTACACAGCTGACAGTTACAGAAATCAGGAATGCAGACAGGCTCTATCGATCTGCGCTACTGTGTCCAAAACACAACCAACTGTTATGTTTGGCACCTACTGACCAAAAAATGATGTTATTATGATCTTTTTTTTTTCAATGACATGTTAAGCTAAAATAAAGTTTTAAGGAAATATAGGCATGCACCACATTACTTCAAGACAAATCAGCTCAATCAAGCCTGATTGTCTTGTAAGTATAAAAGCAAAGCTTGCATTCATTTAATAAAAAAAGCATGAAAAGGTAATGTAATGGGATAGTGTCTTACTGTGGGTGAAGATTCCAATACTTTAGCTTGTACAGTGGGGAAAAAAAGTATTTAGTCAGCCACCAATTGTGCATGTTCTCCCACTTAAAAAGATGAGAGAGGCCTGTAATTTTCATCATAGGTACACGTCAACTATGACAGACAAAATGAGAAAAAAAATCCAGAAAATCACATTGTAGGATTTTTTATGAATTTATTTTCAAATTATGGTGGAAAATAAGTATTTAGTCAATAACAAACGTTTCTCAATACTTTGTTATATACCCTTTGTTGGCAATGACACAGGTCAAACGTTTTCTGTAAGTCTTCACAAGGTTTTCACACACTGTTGCTGGTATTTTGGCCCATTCCTCCATGCAGATCTCCTCTAGAGCAGTGATGCTTTGGGGCTGTCGCTGGGCAACACGGACATTCAACTCCCTCCAAAGATTTTCTATGGGGTTGAGATCTGGAGACTGGCTAGGCCACTCCAGGACCTTGAAATGCTTCTTACGAAGCCACTCCTTCGTTGCCCGGGCGGTGTGTTTGGGATCATTGTCATGCTGAAAGACCCAGCCAAGTTTCATCTTCAATGCCCTTGCTGATGGAAGGAGGTTTTCACTCAAAATCTCACGATACATGGCCCCATTCATTCTTTCCTTTACACGGATCAGTCGTCCTGGTCCCTTTGCAGAAAAACAGCCCCAAAGCATGATGTTTCCACCCCCATGCTTCACAGTAGGTATGGTGTTCTTTGGATGCAACTCAGCATTCTTTGTCCTCCAAACACGACGAGTTGAGTTTTTACCAAAACGTTCTATTTTGGTTTCATCTGACCATATGACCTTCTCCCAATCCTCTTCTGGATCATCAAAATGCACTCTAGCAAACTTCAGACAGGCCTGGACATGTACTGGCTTAAGCAGGGGGACACGTCTGGCACTGCAGGATTTTAGTCCCTGGCGGCGTAGTTTGTTACTGATGGTAGGCTTTGCTACTTTGGTCCCAGCTCTCTGCAGGTCATTCACTAGGTCCCCCCGTGTGGTTCTGGGATTTTTGCTCACCGTTCTTGTGATAATTTTGACCCCACGGGGTGAGATCTTGCGTGGAGCCCCAGATCGAGGGAGATTATCAGTGGTCTTGTATGTCTTCCATTTCCTAATAATTGCTCCCACAGTTGATTTCTTCAAACCAAGCTGCTTACCTATTGCATATTCAGTCTTCCCAGCCTGGTGCAGGTCTACAATTTTGTTTCTGGTGTCCTTTGACAGCTCTTTGGTCTTGGCCATAGTGGAGTTTGGAGTGTGACTGTTTGAGGTTGTGGACAGGTGTCTTTTTTACTGATAACAAGTTCAAACAGGTGCCATTAATACAGGTAACGAGTGGAGGACAGAGGAGCCTCTTAAAGAAGTTACAGGTCTGTGAGAGCCAGAAATCTTGCTTGTTTGTAGGTGACCAAATACTTATTTTCCACCATAATTTGCAAATATATTCATTAAAAATCCTACTATATTCATTCTCTATTTGTCTGTCATAGTTGACGTGTACCTATGATGAAAATTACAGGCCTCTCTCATCTTTTTAAGTGGGAGAACTTGCACAATTGTTGGCTGACTAAATACTTTTTTTCCCCACTGTATGTGGTACAAATCACATTGTGTATGCAAGAGTATGAATTATGGTGTTTGAGAAGGTTTGAATCCTAAGCAACCTGTCTACACATAGTTTAAAGTACAATACCAACATAGCTACTGTAGCAGGTCAAAGCTATGTGCTGGAAAACCTCGGTAGAGCATGGGTGGAATAGGCATTGTGGTGCTCATGTGAATTTCCTTTATTTTTCGCCTTCAGACCAATGTCTATTCTCACTTAAAACTTAGTTTTTTGTTTTTAATTTACTTTGGCGTTTGTAAATTATCTTAAAGTGTATATCTCTCCTTCTAACCTCTCCCTCTTCTGCGTATGATTCTAGGTTGACATCGGCAGTGACGGAACACAAGCGTGCTGTGCGTCCTACTAGGAATAACCAGGGCTCACGCAACCCCCTCCGTGCCCTGGCGGCCCGCAACGACATCCGCCAGGTCTACACGGAACAGAGACTCAACGTAGCTACCGTGGAAACCAAGAGGATGCAAGTGGAGAGGAGTAAGCCATCCCATCCTATAATATGCGTTCTATATTTTTTATTAACATTTTTAACCCCTTTTCGTGATTTTCGTGATATCCAATTGGTAGTTACAGTCTTGTCCCATCGCTGCAACTCCCTTACTGACTCGGGAGAGGCGAAGGTCGAGAGCCATGCGTCCTCCGAAACACGACCCTGCGGCACACTGCTCGCTTAATCCGGAAGTCGGCCACACCAATGTGTCGGAGGAAACACTGTACAACTGGCGACCGAGTCAGCGTGCATGCGCCCGGCCCGCCACAGGAGTTGCTAGAGCGTGATGGGACTAGGACATCCCAGCCGGCCAAACCCTCACCTAACCCTGATGACTCTAGGCCAATTGCGCCCCGCCTCATGGGTCTCCCAGTCGTGGCCGGCTGCGATACAGCCTGGGATCGAACCCGGGTCTGTAGTGATGCCTCAAGCACTGCGATGCAATCAGTGCCTTCGACAGCTGCGCCACTCGGGAGGCCCATGCAACGTGTTTAAAAAAAAAAAAACTATCCCTTTAACAAGTTGTAAATAGATCATTTTCTAAAAGGTGAATCCAAAGGCAATCTCCAGGTGGCTAAGGAAGTGCTATTCTATTTTATTATATTCTGTCACTACACTGTTCTTGATCACAGTCTGCATTTACCTTATGCAAGAGGAAAATAATTGCGCATGAGAGTTAAATTCTGTTAAGTAAATGCTTGTATTGTCAAATGTATTGTATTGTGTAGCAAACAGGCCATACAACACATATTTGCAAAACAGCACAGCAAGGAAAATATTATGGTTGATAGCCAGCTAAATGTAGCTGAAAAAGTAGCAGTTATAGTTTGAACTTGACTCTGTTGAGGCAGGGGTTGTGGTTAGGGCTGTGGCGGTCATGAAATTTAGTCAGCCGGTTACTGTCATGCAAAAGACTGCCGGTCTCATGGTAATTGACCGTTAATTAACATAAACATGTTTAGCATCTCCAGGCCTCCACACATACAAGCCACTGATGCGCACCTTTGGAACATCTACATTTAAAAAAAGGATAATAAATCAATTTAATATACATCATAACAATAAATCCATTATTTATTTTAGTCATGTCTAAAGAAACATTATGATATGAAGAAAACTTATTTCAGAAAAACAGAATGAGTTCGCCTATGTTATCTAGCTATGCTCCCATGCCATAGGCTGTAGGCTTGTTCATTTAGCTGACAAGATATGCTTATAAGTACCGTGCCATTATTTTATTTTATCAGATTTTATAGTAAGAAGAATATAATTGAACTTAGCTGAATAAAATATACTTAACAAAAATATAAATGCAACATGCAACAATTTCAAATGTTTTACTGAGTTACAGTTCATAGAAGGAAATCGGTCAATTTAAATAAATAAATTAAGACTTATCTATGGATTTCACATGACTGGGCAGGGGTGCAGCCATGGGTGGGCCTGGGAGGGCATAGGCTCACCCTCTTGGGAGCCAGGCCCACCCACTGGGGAGTAAGGTCCAGCCAATCAGAATGAGTTCTTCCACATAGAAGGGCTTAATTACAGGCAGAAATACTCATTGGTTTCATCAGCTGTCTGGGTGGCTGGTCTCAGACGATCCCGCAGGTAAAGAAGCTGGATGTGGAGGACCTGGGCTGGCGTGGTTACACGTGGTCTGCGGTTGTGAGGCCGATTGGATGTACTGCCAAATTCTCCAAAACAACGTTGGAGGCAGCTTATGGTAGAGAAATTAACATTCAAATCTCTGGCAACAGCTCTGCTGGACATTCCTGCAGTCAGCATGCCAATTGAATGCTCCCTCAACTTGAGACATCTATGATATTGTGTTGTGTGACAAAACTGCACATTTTAGAGTGGCCTTTTATTGTCCCCAGCACAAGGTGGACCTGTGTAATGATCATGCTGTTTAATCAGATTCTTGATATGCCACACCTGTCAGGTGGATGGATTATCTTGACAAAGGAGAAATTCTCACTAACAGGGATGTAAACATATTTGCGCACAACATTTGAGAGAAATAAGCTTTTTGTGCATATGGAACATTTCTGGGATCTTTTATTTCAGCTCATGAAACATGGGACCAAAAGTGTACATGTTGCGTTTATGTTTTTGTTCAGTATATAAACATTACTAAGAGCCAAGTACATTACAAAAGGAGAATGGCACTAAAAAAATAGCATGCACAAAAATACAGGGAGGGGAAAACAACAACAAGATCATCAAAGGCAATTCAAATTGAGAGGCTAAATTCAAAAACATGTTAAAAAGACAAGAGAGCAAGACCAAGGTTAAAATGCTATAGGCTGAATGCTAGTTGTTGAAGGTACCAAACTGTCTGTTCTAGCAGTTGACACACAGTTCGGACACTCATCGGTACAACACAAGACATGCAATCAGTGGTCTCTTCACAGTCCCCAGGTCCAGAACAGAGGCTGGGAAACGCACATTATTAAATAGAGACATGACTACTTGGAAATCTCTGCCACCCCAGGTAACTCAAGCCAGCAATAAAACCAGATTAAAAGAACAATTTACGGCACAACGGGGACAGTGAAGAGACAGACATTTTTATATACTCATGGGCGGCGCACAATTGGCCCAGCGTCGTCCAGGGTAGGGGAGGGAATGGCCGGCAGGGATGTAGCTCAGTTGATAGAGCATGGCGTTTGCAACACCAGGGTTGTGGGTTCGATTCCCACGGGGGGCCAGTATAAAAAATATATATATATGTATTCACTAACTGTAAGTCGCTCTGGATAAGAGCGTCTGCTAAAATGACTAAAATGTAAAAAATATATATTTTGTATTGTAATTTGCACTGTATTATGTATTGTATTATGTAGGGGCTCATAGGGCAGGAGCCATCTCCTGTTTCTGAAGCGTGAGGCAGAGGCAGGAGATAATGGAGTATTATGTAGTATTATCTACAGTGCATTCGGAAAGTATTCAGACCCCTTGACTTTTTCCACTCATTTTTGCAAATGTATAAAGAATTTTAAACTGAAATATTACATTTACATAATTATTCAGAACCTTTACTCAGTACTTTGTTGACGCACCTTTGGCAGCGATTACAGACTTGAGTCTTCTTGGGTATGACGCTAGGCACACCTGTATTTGGGGAGTTTCTCCTATTCTTCTCTGCAGGTCCTCTCAAGCTCTGTCAGGTTAGATGGGGAGCGTCGCTGCACAGCTATTTTCAGATCTCTCCAGAGATGTTCGATCGCGTTCAAGTCCGTGCTCTGGCTGGGCCACTCAAGGACATTCAGAGACTTTTCCCGAAGCCACTCCTCTATTGTCTTGGCTGTGTGCTTAGGGTCGTTGGCCTGTTGGAAGGTGAACCTTCGCCCCAGTCTGAGGTCCTGAGCAGGTTTTCATCAAGGATCTCTCTGTACTTTGCTCCGTTCATCTTTCCCTTGATCCTGACTAGTCTCCCAGTCCCTGCCGCTGAAAAACATTCCCACAGCATGATGATGCTGCCACCACCATGCTTCACCGTAGAGATAGTGCCAGGTTTCCTCCAGACGTGACGCTTGGCATTCAGGCCAAAGAGTTCAATCTTGGTTTCATCAGACCAGAAAATCTTGTTTCTCATGGTCTGAGAGTCCTAAGGTGCCTTTTGGCAAACTCCAAGCGGGCTGTCATGTGCCTTTTACTGAGGAGTGGCTTCCATCTCAACATGATTAAGACAAAGGAGATGATTGTGGACTACAGGAAAAGGAAGAGGACCGAGCACGCCCTCATTCTCATCAACGGGGCTGTAGTGGAGCAGGTTGAGAGCTTCAAGTTCCTTGGTGTCCACATCACAAACAAACTAACATGGTCCAAGCACACCAAGACAGTCGTGAAGAGGGCACGACAAAACCTATTCCCCCTCAGGAGACTGAAAAGATTTGGCATGGGTACTCAGATCCTCAAAAGGTTCTACAGCTGCACCATCGAGAGCATCCTAACTGGTTACATCACTGCCTGGTATGGAAACTGCTCGGCCTCCGACCGCAAGGCATTACAGAGTGTAGTGCGCACGGCCCAGTACATCACTGGGGCCAAGCTTCCTGCCATCCAAGACCTCTATACTAGGCGGTGTCAGAGGAAGGCCCTATAAATTGTCAAAGAATCCAGCCACCCTGGTCATAGAATGTTCTCTCTGCTACCGCACGGCAAGCGGTACCAGAGCACCAAGTCTAGGTCCAAGAGGCTTCTAAACAGCTTAAGACTCCTGAACAGCTAATCAAATGGCTACCCAGACTATTTGCATTGTCCCCCCCCCCCCCTCTTTTACTCTGCTGCTACTCTCTATTTATTATCTATGCATAGTCACTTTAATAACTCTACCTACATGTACATATTACCTCAATTATCTTGACTAACCGGTGCCCCCACACATTGACTCGGTACTGGTACCACTGTATATAGCCTCGGCTATTATTATTTTGTACTTTTATTTTGTATTATTTTATATTGTATTTTTTCTGGTGTTTTTTTTCTTCTTTTTTTTTGGGGGGGGGGGGGTATTCTTTATTAAAACTGCATTGTTGGTTAAGGGCTTGTAAGTAATAATTTCACTGTAAGGTCTACACCTGTTATATTCCGCACATGTGACTAATACAATTTGATTTGATCTGGCCACTCTTCCATACATGCCTGATTGGTGGAGTGCTGCAGAGATGGTTGTCCTTCTGGAATGTTCTCCATTCTCCACAGAGGAACTCTGGAGCTCTGTCAGAGTCACCATCGGGTTCTTGGTCACCTCCCTGACCATGACCCTTCTCCCCTGATTGCTCAGTTTGGCCGGGCGGCCAGCTCTAGGAAGTGCCTTGGTGGTTCCAAACTTCTTCCATTTAAGAATAATGGAGGCCACTGTGTTCTTGGGGACCTTCAATGCTGCAGAAATTTTTTGGTACCCTTCCCCAGATCTGTGCCTCGACACAATCCTGTCTCGGAGCTCTACGGACAATTCCTTCGCCCTCATGGCTTGGTTTTTGCTCTGACGTGCATTGTCAACTGTGGAACAGGTGTGTGTCTTTCCAAATCATTTCCAATCAATTGAATTTACCACAGGTGGACTCCAATCAAGTTGTTGAAACATCTCAAGGATGATCAATGGAAACCGGATGCACCTGAGCTCAATTTCAAATCTCATAGCAAAGGGTCTGAATACTTATGTGTATATGTAATTTTTTTATAATATTTTTGACAAAGATTTCTCTAAACCTATTTTTGCTTTGTCATTATGGGGTATTGTATGTATATTAATGAGGGAGGGGGAAAAAATAATTTAATACATTTTAGAATAAGGCTGTTATGTAACAAAATGTGGAAAAAGTCAACGGGTCTGAATACTTTCCGAATGCACTGTATATTAGATTATGTATATTATGTATTTTATTTGTTGTTTTGTTTCCTGTTTGGACCACATACAACTAAATACTATTACTAAAAGGTGGGTTTTGAGACTGGACTTGAAGGTTTGGATGGAGTCAGATTCGCAGGTATTGGGGGGGAGAGAGTTCCAGAGAGTGAGGGCGACATTTACATTTACATGTTTTTTTTTTTTTTTTTTTTGTCATTTTAGCAGACGCTTTTATCCAGAGTGACTTACAGTTAGTGAGTGCATTCATTTTCATACTGAAGGCACGATCCCCCATGGAGTCAGAGGATCGGAGGCTGCGGGTGGGGGTGTAGATGTGTAGCTGCTAACCTCCATTTTGGATTGCTACCCACCCCCGTTTCAGCTCAATCAACATTGGCCAAGCACAATAATGGCCTACTAACCTCCATTTTGGCTCTTCTCATCCACAGTGGCCAAGCATTCCAACCTGGCGGACGCAGCTCTGGCCGGCCTGGCCAGTAAGGAGAACTTCCGCAAGGTCAACCTGCGCAGCACCAAGTCCACTGAGGTGGTGACCAACAACAGCACGCTGCCCTTCAACAAGCTCATGCTCATCCGCATCAAAGGTCAGTCAGAGGGCAAAGGTCACGGGGTCAGGGATGGCATTTTTCTGTTCAGAAATTGCACCATGTTCTCTATATACTGCACTACGTTTTATTTACAATGATTCTTCATTGTAAATACAATTCACACATTTTTTTTTATTTTTATTACCAGTACTCTTGAACAATACAACAGTGGCACAGATTTAAAACTTGGCTTCACCCATCCACTTCGTCTCCAAAGGAGTACAGTAGCATATATTTTTGAAAAATCTCTGAGTAGTTCCTTCACTCTTTCCATAAACGTCCATAAGCAGAGGAATGACTGGTTGGAGTAAGTGGGTGTGTCTGGTTTCTAAAGTGGGTCTGTCTGTCTGGGTGTGGTCTGCAGGGCGGAGGCACGTGCAGGTGCGTCTGGTGGAGCCCACGGCCCGTTCCCTGAACAGCGGCGACTGCTACCTGCTCATCACCCCCAAACACTGCTTCATGTGGAGTGGAGAGTTTGCCAACGTCATCGAAAAAGCCAAGGTACTAGACATGCACTATATATACAAAAGTATGTGGACACCCCTTTACATGAATGGATTTGGCTATTCCAGCCACACCCTTTGCTGACAGGTAAATAAAATCGAACACACTGCCATGCAATCTCCAAAGACAAACATTAGCAGTAGAATGGCCTTACTGAAGAGCTCCGTCATAGGATGCCACCTTTCCAACAAGTCAGTTCGTCAAATATCTGCCCTGCTAGAGCTGCCCCGGTCAACTGTAAGTGCTGAAGTGGAAACATCTAGGAGCAACAACAGCTCAGCCGCAAAGTGGTAGGCCACACAAACACACAGAACGGGACCGCCGAGTCCTGAAGCGTGTAGCGCATAAAAATAGTCTGTCCTCGGTTGCAACACTCACTACAGAGTTCCAAACTGCCTCTGGAAACAACGTCAGCACAAGACCTGTTAGTTGGGAGCTTCATGAAATGGGTTTCCATGGCCGAGCAGCCGCACACAAGCCTAAGATCATCATGCGCAATGCCAAGTGTCGGCTGGAGTGGTGTAAAGCTCGCCGCCATTGGACTCTGGAGCAGTGGAAATGCGTTCTCTGGAGTGATGAATCTGGCAGTCCGACGGACGAAATCTGGGTTTGGCGGATGCCAAGAGAACGCTACCTGCCCGAATGCATAGTGCCACCTGTAAAGTTTGGTGGAGGAGGAATAATGGTCTGGGGCTGTTTTTCATGGTTCGAACTACGCCCCTTAGTTCCAGTGAAGGGTAATCGTAACGCTACAGCATACAATGACATTGTAGATGATTCTGTGCTTCCAACTTTGTGGTAACAGTTTGGGGAAGGCCCTTTCCTGTTTCAGCATGACAATGCACCCGTGCACAAAGCGAGGTCCATACATAAATGGTTTCTCGAGATCAGTGTGGAAGAACTTGACTGGCCTGCACAGCGCCATGACCTCAACCCAATCTAACAACTTTGGGATGAATTGGAACGCCGACTGCGAGCCAGGCCTAATCGCCCAACATAAGTGCCCGACTTCCCTAATGCTCTTGTGGCTGAATGGAAGCAAGTCCCTGCAGCAATGTTCCAACATCTATTGGAAAGCCTTCCCAGAAGAGTAGAGGCTGTTATAGCAGCAAAGGGGGACCAACTCCATATTAATGCCCATGATTTTGGAATCCGATGTTCGACGAGTAGGTGTCCACATACTTTTGGTCATGTAGTGTACAGATGCAAATACAGTGCATTCGGAATGTATTCAGATCCCTTCCCTTTTCCACATTTTGTTACGTCGCAGCCTTATTCTAAAATGGATTAAATAAAACATTTTTCTCATTAATCTACACACAATACCCCATAATGACAACAATTTTTTTTGTTGTTGTTGCAAAAACCAGAAATACCTTTTTTACATAAGTATTCAGACCCTTTGCTATGGGACTCGAATTTGAGCTCAGGTGCATCCTATTTCCATTGATCATCCTTGAGATGTCTCTACAACTTGATTGGTGTCCACCTGTGGTAAATTCAATTGATTGGACATGATTTTCATGATTCCCACGGGGGGCCAGTTTGAAAAATGTATGCACTCACTAACTGTATGTCGCTCTGGATAAGAGCGTCTGCTAAATGACTAAAATGTAATGATTTGGAAAGGCACACACCTGTCTATATAAGGCCTCACAGTTGACAGTGCATGTCAGAGCAAAAACCAGGCCATGAGGTTGAAGGAATTGTCCGTAGAGCTCCGAGACGACTGTGTCGAGGCACAGATCTGGGGAAGGGTACGAAAACATTTCTGCCGCATTGAAGGTCCCCAAGAACACAGTGGCCTCCATCATTCTTAAATGGAAGAAGTTGGAACCACCAAGACTCTACCTAGAGCTGGCCGCCCATCCAAACTAAGCAATCGGGGGAGGACTGCCTTGGTCAGGAAGGTGACAGAGCTCCAGAGTTCCTCTGTGGAGATGGGAGAACCTTACAGAAGGACAACCGTCTCTGTAGCACTCCACCAATCAGGCCTGTTTGGTAGAGTAGCCAGATGAAAGCCACTCCTCAGTAAAAGGCATATGACAGCCCGCTTGGACTCTCAGACCATGAGAAACAAGATTCTCTGGTCTGATGAAACCAAGATTGAACTCTTTGGCCTGAATGCCAAGCATCACGTCTGGAGGAAATCTGGCACCATCCCTACGGTGTAGCATAGTGGTGGCAGCATCATGCTGTGGGGATGTTTTTCAGCGGCAGGTACTGGGAAACTAGTCAGGATCGGGGGAAAGCTGAATGGAGCAAAGTACAGAGAGATCCTTGATGAAAGCCTGCTCCAGAGCGCTCAGGACCTCAGACTGGGGGGACAAGTCTCTGAATGTCCTTGAGTGGCCCAGCCAGAGCCCGGACTTGAACCCGATCAAACATCTCTGGAGAGACCTGAAAATGGCTGTGCAGCGACGCTCCTCATCCAACCTGACAGAGCTTGAGAGGATCTGCAGAGAAGAATGGGAGAAACTCCCCAAATAAAGGTGTGCCAAGCTTGTAGCATCATACCCATGAAGATGCGAGGCTGTAATCGCTGCCAAAGGTGCTTCAACGAAGTACTGAGTAAAGGGTCTGAATACTTATGTAAATGTGATCTTTCAGTTTTGTTTTTAATAAATGTGCAAAAAATTCTAAAAACCTGTTTTTGCTTTGTCATTATGGGGTATTGTGTGTAGATTGATGAGGGGGAAAAATATTACATACATTTTAGAATAAGGCTGTAACGTAACAAAATGTCGAAAAAGTCGAGGTCTGAATACTTTCTGAATGCACTGTAATTAACGAGTGTCTGTGGTTCCGAATTCTTCAGAACCCTCTTCCCAATAGCAAAAAATCAGAAGCTTCTGTACATGCGCGGGATTCTCTACTTTACTAACAGTGTCTGCTCTACTCGTTCGGCTGCCTTGAGAACAGTCTGCTCTGGTGAATAGTGCTTGTTTAATAAAGTTACATCAAAGCTGAATCAATGTCTTTAAGATCACATAAAGATAGTATTCTACAATCTACAGAACAGAATATAACAGCATATATTATAACAATACTGTAAGACAAAAAACACCACCTCGTGAGATTTAAGGATGATTGTGCGAATGGTTTAATTTTTCTCTCATGCGGCCAAAACTCAACAGCACGCGCCACTAGGCAAAATGTGTTTTGATTGAAACAAAACACAGGTATGCTACAGTTCGTTAACACCATCTGCTAAAAAATTCGGTCTCTGTACATAATTCAAAACAACACTGTACTTCGAAACACTGTACATAACTCAAGAAGATCTAAATGCATATTCCAATTAAACTGATTGAGATCAGATGGTTGGCATTGACAGTGAGAAATGTGAAGGGATGTTGACCACAAAAATGTGTGCGTCAAGTAGAGGTAAAGAATCATATGCGCAGAACGTGATACAGATTTTTTGCTCTGGGGAAGAGGCTCCCAGGGGGGTTGTGACAGGGCCGGAATGGGGGGGTTACCTTTGGAACCGCAGCCTCTGTCTATAATTAAACACAAAAACAATGTTTTAGGATAACATTTTGGACGGATCCATAGAATCCATAGAAAAATCCAGGAAATTCAAATGAGCACCATAGCCCTAACTTCACTCATGCACTTCCATGGATTTTCATCACACAGCAGTTCAGTTCAGTGCTTGGCCCTCTTCCTCTGAGACTGCTGACACTTTGGCTCCAAGCTGATGTCCACGTCTATCTGGGGAGCGTAGTGTCTCACGCCCAATGTCTCCTCCACCCCCACCCGTCCTTCAGTCAGCTGTGTGATGGTGAAGGTGGGGCACCAGAGCGCCTCCCACAGGCGCTGCTTGATCCTGCGGCCCAGGTTCAGGCTGTAGCGGGGGGGCTGGACAGAGGCAGTGACCAGCATGGAGTCCACCACCGAGTGGTAGATCTGCTGGTACTCTGGGATGGAGTGACCGTGGATTAGGGGCTCCTCCTGAGCCTCAGTCCTGCCAGTGGGGCTCCTCTCTGGGTACGAGGATGGGGATGGGATGGAAGTCTAGGAGAGTCCAGCAGTGTTTTGGAAGAACCTGTTCTTCAAGGGCTCCTTGAGCTCCCGCAGGCTCTCCTCCTGCTCCACCAACCTCTTCCTCCTCTCCTGATGCTGGAGAGATGGATGGACAGAGAGAGAGAGAGAGTAGGTCAACACCACACAGTATGACAATAATCAGACCCTTAACTCTATCAAATGGAAAATTGTTTCAGAGTGGCTCTCTAACAATGCAGCTGTACAATACGGTGACATGACTCTACCTCGGTCATGAGAGAAGAGTCGTCCAGTTTGGTGAAGAACATGGCTGAGCTGGGCCTGGGGACACTCCATCTAGTGGAGCTCTCTCCCTCACCCCCTCCCTGCCTCACCTGGTCATCTCCCTGGTCAAGAACTGGGGCCCTCAGCCTGTTGACCATGGGCCAGCTGGAGATGTGGGAGGCTTGGTCTCCACCCTGGGCCTCACAGTGATGGCGGCAGGGACTAGCCTGTTTCAGTTGCCGGTGTACTTTGACCTGGCAGACCAGTGGCTCAACAGTGGAGGTGACTTCAACCTCTCCACACTGCTGCTGCTCCTCAGGTGAGAGGAACTGCGGGATGGCCTGGTGGAGGCTGGAGGTCCCAGTGCTGCTTCTGGTGTCAACAGTAGTGTGTGAAGAGGACAGAGAGACACCATCTTGGGAGAAGGAGGAGGATGGGGAGGAAGAGGAGCAGCTCTCTACCTTCTCAAACTCTGTGGCCTGCTCAGCCGAGCGGCATTTCCCAAGGGAGAGACTTGCCCCCTTCACTTAGTAGTCATTCCAACGCCTAGAGGGCGCTACACTCCTCCTAAGGCAGTACTTCTCTATGATGATGATCCATCAAGAATCGAAATTCAGCTGAAGTCTTAGATTTTAGGATACATATTTGAAGAGTAATGTTTCACAGCTAGTTTCCGAGTAGGATGTCTTTTTTGGGGGGCTTGGTTGCCAACATGCCAAGGTTCTAGAGAATGTTGGGGATGAGTTCTAGCCTAGAGCCTAGAGTTTAAAAGTAATCATGTCATAAGAGACACTGATGCACATAGAAACCAAAGGTTCCATTTGGTGCATTCAGTATTATATGGCTGCCAGTTCTAGAGTTAAGTAGATCAGTAAAGTCAAATGTTTCAACAGTTGTATGTATTTGCTCTATGGCCACCATGTGATACAATGGCAACATTCTTCTGAAATGTGTTACTGTTCAGCTCCACACTACCCTCTCTCCTTCCCCTCTCTGCAACCATACTCACATTGATCTGGTCATCTCCCTCTGTTATAATACTTTTCTATTTGATCAACTTTTCTATTTGATCAATGTACTGTAGTTGAGGCCCCATCCAGAAACAGTGTCTAGGTCCTAATCCTCAGACACTTCTGTTGATCTGAAAATAGTCAGTTTCAGTCATGTCAGGAAGTTAGTCGAAATACAAATAATGAATTGAAAAATCGTCATAGAAAACAATGGGCTATTTTCAGTTAATGGAAGTCAATTTCGCTTCTGGAATTGAAAACTGAATTGACCACAACCTGGCATCAAACATTACATGATATTTATCCAGTTGACGATAATGCATGCTTTAGGGGAATGTCGGGCTGTGTGTGTGTGTCTCCAGTCAGTATTGAGCCCCGTGTTCAGTAGGTGGAATATGTTTTGAAGCATTTTGATAGTGGGATGTACTACCTGAATTTGTCCAATAACAACACACATTTTCATTTTTTTGTGTTCATTAGGCACTAAATTAGAAAAAAACTGACAAACAGGGAGGGACTACCTGGACTTGTCCAATAAGAAACACTCATTTTAATTTTCTGTTGCAAAACATTTTGAAAAGTTTTACAATGCTTGCCCGAATGAACACGACCATGGTCTAAGCTCTGTGGCCTGTCCTGTATCCCTAGGCCTCAGAGATGGCGTCGTTCGTGCAGGCTAAGAGGGACCTTGGCTGTAAGGCCTCCCAGGTGACTGTGCTGGAGGAGGGCATCAACACTGACAACAAATGGGCTAAGGAGTTTTGGGACCTACTGGGGGGCAAGACAGACTACAGAGGTACATGCGTGCATTTTCGCACGCACGCACACACAAACACACACATACAGTGTGCTCATGGATTGTACACACACACACACACACACACCAGTAGATGTGCACACACAGTCACACACACACATAGTGTACACACAAAATAAATACATGTGCATACATAAATACACTATTGTACACACACACACATACACAGTGGACCAGGTCGTAAACATATCCAAGGTGCACACTCGAACACAGACCACACACAGATGACTGTATATTATTTGATGACCATATCTAATACACCCCATCACACGCACACGCACACACACCACCTTCCAAAACCCAAAATACCACCTCCACCTCTCAACACACACATTTATGTCCATTTCCATGTCCATTTGTGTGCAGGTGCAGGGGAGCCGGAGGAGGATGAGCTGTATGAAAGTGGTGTGTTAGACTCTAATGGGGTCTACGGGCTGCAGGAGGGAAAACTGGTGCCCCACAAAGAGGTCTGGGCTTCCATCCCCAGTGTCACCCTGCTCAACTCTAAAGAGGTATATAGCTGTGTGTGTGCACATGTGCGTGCGCGTGTGCATGTGTGTGTCTGACTTTCCAGATTCCCTCTCTCTCTAGGTGTTAGTGTTTGACTTTGGCAGTGAGGTGTACGTGTGGACGGGGAAGGACGTCCCCCTGGGTGACAGAAAGGTGGCTGTCCAATTAGGGAAGCAGCTGTGGAGCGGTTCTTACGACTACAGCAGCTGCAGGGTCAACCCCCTGGATGCCTGTTCATCCAATACTGATGTCCCTGAGTGAGTCTCAAGCTCTTAGCCTGCCTTTTTTATGCACACTGTCCAATCACATCGCTAAGTTTTTGATGGCCACAGGACAATTCAAAAGGTCTTGCAGGTTCATGCCACAAAAACGTTTGGAGTTGCTTGAAGGACTAGTGTTTGAAGGACCAGTGCTCTCATTTGAACTGAGTGCCACTAACACGAATATGCAGAGGCAAAGGACTGTCTACACTACAGTATGGCAGCATATGTCTGGCATCTGTTTAGCAGTGATAAGTATTTGCAAATGTTGAAGTCAGTGTAGATGGATAGAAGATGGGGAGAAGACAACACTTTAGATTAGGGCTGGGAATTGCCAGGGACATAACGATATGATATTATCACGATACTTTGGTGCCGATATGATATGTATTGCTATTCACGATTCTATATGTATTGCGATATTCGATTCGATATTGTGATTTGATGATCCAAACATATTGCTCACTACATGTCTGCTACAGAGAGACATACTCTGAGTCAAAGTATCATTATAATATCGTCCAAAATAATATTGTGATATGTAATTGTATTGATTTTTTTCCCCCATCAAAACTTTAGATGCACCGCTTGTATCTGTCTGTGTGAAAGTGTTTTTGTTGGTGTCGTTTTCTCAATGTTTGTGTGTATCTGTATGTGTTTTGTGTGTAGGCAGGGTGAGGGACGTCCCAGCTGGGCTCTGTTCGGCCGTCTGTCGGAGCACAACGAGACGGCTCTGTTCAGAGAGAAGTTCCTGGACTGGGCCGAGAGGAAAGAGGAGGCTGCCATGGAGGAGGCCAAGGTTAGGAAATGGGCTTAAGGTTTAGGGTGAGGCCATGATGGGCTTTATCTCAATTGCTTAAACATCTGTCCTCAATCAATCAATACTTTTTTTTATAAAGCCCTCTTTACATCAGCAGTTGTCACAAAGTGCTTATACAGAAACCAGCCTCAAACCCCAGAGAGCAAGCAATGGATTGGAAAAGACAGGTGAAAGCAATATGGTGCAAGCTCATCATTAGGCTGTCTTTCACCTGGTCAGTTCTTTCAGATCAGTGCAGATGAGGAGACGGGGAGAAGAATGTCTGTGTAGACAAATGAAAAGCGTCCTGGTATCGGGATTCTAGTTTATTTTTGTAACCTTATGTTAAAGTATTAAAAATAATAGATAAATAGGTTGCACCCTTTTCAGGCCCTTTGTCACATTGGGTCATCATGTTATGAGGTATAATCACGTACTTAGTCATACAGTATACGGTCCCATTGCTTTTGTGGAAAGCTACGTCATTTAAAAAACTGCTAACAATACCTATTTCCCCCACTCTCTCTCCCCCTCCAGAGCCCTGTCCACTCTACCCTCCGCTCGCCCCTTGAGGCGGCCAAGCCTGACGTCTTAAAACCGTGCGACGCCAAGGCCCTGCTGGACAGTGCGGGAGGCCCTATACGTAGCCTCCTGGAGGGCGTGGACGTGCAGCGTGGCTACGGGCTGGTCCAAACAGAGGACGGACGCCAGGCAGAGCTCGCCACAGTGGAGGTGGACGCCTGGCATATCCGGGAGTTTGAAGAGGAGGAGCTGGTGGCGGCGAGCTTGGGCCAGCTGCACGAAGGAGACACCTACGTGATCCGCTGGAAGTACTCGGTCACCACTGTGGGTGAGTAATAGTGTCATACGCACATCATAAAAAATACTAAAGGTGCTGGACGAAGGGCCGCTGTGGGTGAGTCACGGTATTAGATGTAACATTATATTGTATCTCTATGGGAGGAGAAGTAGTACAGGGGGTCGTTGAGAAGAGGGAGATTTTTGCACACTGTAGTTGTTCATAGTTCCAGAGGCATGGAGGAAAAGACTGTTGTGAGAAACTCCAGCTCACTGATATTATATCTTGAATATTTCATAAACAATCATCATCAAATGCTTTGATCAATGCTTTACCAGGATTAAATACGCAATCTGTGACAGTTAGACGTTTTTGCCATATATGTATACCTGTTGCTTCTTGAAGAATAATATCTCATGAGCTTACTATAGCTAACGTTAGCCCCAGATGAGTTTTCCAATGGAGCCCTCTGGAGAGGTAAATTAACGGTTCCAGCGCTGTAGGAGCTGTATCTACTACGCTTTGTTTCGGGACAAACTGGATCACTCAAAGTTCCAATGCGGCAATTGTTTGCTTGCCGTGCATTATAGGCTTGAGGTGGCTTCCTTAATCACACAGGTAGCCAGCCTACGTAAGAAACTGTGGAAAACGCAGAGTGGAATGTTTACCTTTTCTACACCGGTGGCTGAATGGCGTTCGCGCATGTTGGATGCATCGCCGTCTTGTCGTTTGTCATTATCCGACTGGCCGGTGTTGCCCGGGGTTCCTTCACCAGGGGAGCCATCTCCTGCCTCTCCTCCCCATCTGATAGCGGAGTCGAAGGAGCACAGCAAGAGGAGCATGGCAATCATCGATGGTCACGTCACGAGCCGTGGAAGACGAAGACAGCGGCCTGCCGCAAAGCAGCCTATACTCCCAACGAGAGGCCCGGAGCGGATACAAACAACAAATAGTTTCGCCGCCCTGGAGCCTGATCTTCCTGCACCTTAGTCGCTGGAGGTACCTGTGTCTGCGGCCACTGTGCCTACTCCTTCCCCTACGATTTCGAAGTCGACGTCGGCAACCTTCCGTCCCTGCTCTGGATCGAGCGGGGCTTCTCCATCTGTCGGAGGCCTGCACCATCCTGTGAAGCGTGGAAGTGGGCGGATTTCCTCGTCCTTCTCGCCAGCCGTGATTTTGGGCAGCTCCATGGTAAGAAATGTGACTGTTCCTCGTGCAAAAACAATGTCCTGTCCCGGAGCTCGAGTAAATGACATTACTAAACTGCAACCAAATATACTACGCCAGGACATGGACATCGATTCTATCGTAGTCCATGTGGGTTTTAATGACATTGTGATGGGCAGCTCTGAACAGTTGAAACTGGATTTTCAAAGAGCTGATTGACTCTCTGCTAGACACTAATAAAATATCCATCATATCTGGCTCTGTGCCCTCTCTGAATCGTGGCATTGAACGCTTTAGCAGGATTCTTTCTCTTACATGTTTTACATTTTTAGTCATTTAGCAGACGCTCTTATCCAGAGCGACTTACAGTTAGTGAGTGCATACATAAAAAAATAAAAATAAATTCATACTGGCCCCCCGTGGGAATCGAACCCACAACCCTGGCGTTGTAAACGCCATGCTCTACCAACTGAACTACACGGGGCTTCACAGCTGGCTACTTGATTATTGCAGCTCAATGGGTGTAACTTTTGTTGACAATTTTGATACCTTTTGAAAACAAAATACATTTTATAAGGAAGTTGGGATCCACCAAAATAATTTCACCTCATTAAAGGCTGCATTGAGATAATGTGTCGCTGAGTCATCATAATGCTTTAGCAAATGTACATTATACCAGGGGCATTGGTAGACACAATGTAAGTAACCTAACTTATGTCCCTCTAACTGCCCTGAATGCCTCTCCTGATCCTACAGCTATTGTATGCAGCAATCATGTGTCTATGAACCAGATTTATGCTGTTAGCACTGAGGCAGTGTGCCCTAGTAGGAAGTCCACTGAATGCAGCTCACCCTGCACTAACATAAATAACATGAGAATATCTACTTCTGCTAAGCTTCCCAGTAAAGCAATGAAAACAATCAAGCCTCCCAGAAAAGTGCTCAAAATAGCCCATGTTAACATATGTAGTTTAAGAAACAAGGTTCATGAAATTAATAACTTGTTAGTAGCAGATTACATCCATATTCTGACTATCACAGAAACTCACTTGGAAAAAACATTTGATGATACAGTGGTAGCAATACAAGGTTATAACACTTACAGAAAAGACAGAAATGCCTGTGATGGAGGTGTTGCTGTTTATATTCAGAACCCCATTCCTGTAAAGATTAGAGAGGATCTCATGTTAAATACTGTTGAAGTAATATGGCTACAGGTTCATCTGCTTCACCTAAAGCCCATTCTTGTGGGAAGCTGCTATAGACCACCAAGTGCCAACAGTCAGTATCTGGATAACATGTGTGAAATGCTTGATATTGTATGTGATATCAACAGAGAGGTATGTTTTCTGGGTGATTTAAATATTGACTGGCTTTCATCAAGCTGCCCACTCAAGAAAAAGCTTCAAACTATAACCAGTGCCTGCAACCTGGTTCAGATTATCAGTCAACCTACCAGGGTAGTTACAAATAGCACAGGAATGAAATCATCAACATGTATTGATCACATCTTTACTAATGCTGCAGAAATGTGCTTGAAAGCAGTATCCAGATCCATCGGATGTAGTGATCACAATATAGTAGCCCACATCTAGGAAAACCAACGTTCCAAAGGCTGGGCTTAATATAGTGTATGAGGTCATACAATAAGTTGTGTAGTGATTCCTATGTTGTTGACGTAAAGAATGTTTGTTGGTCCGTGGTGTGTAATGACGAGCAAACAGACGTTGCTCTTGACACATTTATGAAATTGCTTATCCCAGTTACTAATAAGCATGCACCCATTAAGAAAATGACTGTAAAAACTGTTAAATCCCCATGGATTGATGAGGAATTGAAAAATTGAATGGTTGAGGGATGAGGCAAAAGGAATGGCAAATAAGTCTGGCTGATCAACCGATTGGCAAACATACTGCAAATTGAGAAATCAAGTGACTAAACTGAATAAAAATAAAATAAACTACACTATGAAACAAAGATAAATGCCATAAAGAATGATAGTAAAAAGCTTTGGAGCACCTTCAATGAAATGTTTGGAAAAAAGGCAAACTCAGCTCCATCATTAATTGAATCAGATGTCTCATTCATTACAAAACCGACTGATATTGCCAACAACTTTAATGATTTTTTCATTGGCAAGATTAGCAAACTTAGGCATGACATGCCAGCAACAAACGCTGACACTACACATCCAAGTATATCTGACCAAATTATGAAAAACAATCATTGTCTTTTTGAAATCTGTAAAGTGAGTGTGGAAGAGGCGCAAAAATGATTGTTGTCTATCAACAATGACAAGCCACCGGGGTCTGACAACTTGGATGGAAAATTACTGAGGATAATAGTGGACGATATTGCCACTCCTATTTGCCATATCTTCAATTTAAGCCTTCTAGAAAGTGTGTGCCCTCAGAGGAAAGCAAAAGTCATTCTGCTACCTAAGAATAGTTTTAATTCACATTTTAATTTGTATGTTTGTTTGTTTCATTATTTGTCTTCCAGTGGGTAAGAGGCAGAAGCCGGGGGAGCTGAGTAGTGGGGGTCCGGGTCGGGAGCGAAGCGCCTGTTTCTTCTGGCAGGGCCGTCACTCCAGCGTCAGCGGCAAGGGCACCTCCGCACTGATGACCGTAGAGCTGGGGAACCACAGGGGGGCGCAGGTGAGTCCACAGCACTCAAAGGGATCACTTGTGCAGGGATGCCTAACACTTCCCCGGGACAGTTACCCTCCTAATCTAGCACACCTGATTCTATGAATTAGCTGTTCAACAGGACCTTGATTGGTTGAATCAGTTGTGTTACAATGGGGTCTGTCTTTCTTGCTGGTGGTTAGGTGTTGGTGACACAGGGCAAGGAGCCTCCATGTTTCCTGCAGCTCTTCCAGGGAGGCCTGGTTATCCACAAGGGCAGCAGAGAAGATGATGGCGTCAACAACACAGGTATATGCAGGGCTCTAAATACACGCCTAAATATTTTGCTGTGCAACTTGGAATTTTATTTGGGAGCACCAGTACACCTAGAAGAAAAATCACCCTGATAATAATTGTTGTAATGATTAGTCTTCACTCCGTTTTTTCGGAGTGCCCTACAGAAGAAAGGGAGCGCATCTTCATTACCATCATGGTTGTACCATTACTACAGCTTGTTTATAGCCCAAACAGTTCAAAAGATTTGACCCCTATGATATGACCTATATTACCAACCTATATTTTTCCTTCCTATGTCAGATCCTACACCTAGTAGGCTAAGGAGCAGGCGTTGCGTGTTAAATTGGGACTGTTTTCATCATAATACTCATAGAAAATAGCAGTCTATATTTTCAGAAGCAGGTGAGTCTCGTGTTCATATTTCACAACCTCCACAGGCTTTTGGAGATGCCTATGCGCTAGTCAATAGCTAAACAATAGGCTACCCTTGATTTAGGCTACTTTATAGCATGCTAAATGTTTCTGATAAGTGATAAATGAGCAAACAAATAGATAATATATTATTATTTATTATTATTATAATCTTCACTCCACTTATTTGCCCAGCCAGAGATGAATTAACCAAATACAGACAAAGATTCAGTGAAACTAAATCCGATTGATTATCAGACAAGTCACAGGCTTTTGGTCGGGAGTAGCCTAGCCTAAGCAAGTGAAGAGAAAAATAATCCACTAGGCTACATAACACATAGCAAAATGTTCTGGTTAGTCCTGCTAATAGCTGAGATAATGGCGGAGCTGGTCATGCCGAGAGATGAGTCCTGATTGGTCTGCCATGCCACAGGCTACTGTCTATAACATAATGGGGGCTTCCCTGATCAGTAGTCTACCGCAGATATATAAAAAAAAAAGATCATAGCAATGGACAACTGCAAACGTGTTGCTACAGCTCTCAACAACATTGCTGCCCTGAATTTAACCGGTGCTATCGACAAAGCTCAGTGGGAGAATGTTGTGATGGACTATTTTTATTTATGTAATTTTTTTTTCAACTGTGCTTTTTCACAAAAGTTCTGAACCTTTATATTCTCATAGTTTCTACAGATTGTAAATTGAAGATAAACATTTTTGCTAAGAGTATTAATTATATTATTGATCGAATGACTATGTATTTTCAAATCACCCAGCAGTGCTATTTGCAGAGTTAGCTCTAGGTAAATGTTGCAATTCTTCAGTCATTCCTGAACCTGCGACCAAAAACAAGCTACATATGGGCAGGTCCAAAACAAATGATTTAATGATTCTGTCTATTCGCAGCCAAATCTGCAGAGCTGGGATGTTTGTATCCCACATTATTATACACAATTCTTACAACTAATAGAATGTTATATATATATATATATATATATATATATATATATATATATATATATATATATATATACAGTGAGGGAAAAAAGTATTTGATCCCCTGCTGATTTTGTATATTTGCCCACTGACAAAGAAATGATCAGTCTATAATTTTAATGCTAGGTTTATTTGAACAGTGAGAGACAGAATAACAACAACAAAATCCAGAAAAACGCATGTAAATTTTTTTATATTTTCATTTGCATTTTAATGAGGGAAATAAGTAATTGAACCCCTCTCAATCAGAAAGATTTCTGGCTCCCAGGTGTCTTTTATACAGGTAACGAGCTGAGATTAGGAGCACACTCTTAAAGGGAGTGCTCCTAATCTCAGCTTGTTACCTGTATAAAAGACACCTGTCCATAGAAGCAATCAATCAGATTCCAAACTCTCCACCATGGCCAAGACCAAAGAGCTCTCCAAGGATGTCAGGGACAAGATTGTAGACCTACACAAGGCTGGAATGGGCTACAAGACCATCGCCAAGCAGCTTGGTGAGAAGGTGACAACAGTTGGTGCGATTATTGGCAAATGGAAGAAACACAAAATAACTGTCAATCTCCCTCGGCCTGGGGCTCCATGCAAGATCTCACCTCATGGAGTTGCAATGATCATGAGAACGGTGAGGAATCAGCCCAGAACTACACGGGAGAATCTTGTCAATGATCTCAAGGCAGCTGGGACCATAGTCACCAAGAAAACAATTGGTAACACACTACGCCGTGAAGGACTGAAATCCTGCAGCGCCCGCAAGTTCCCCCTGCTCAAGAAAGCACATATACAGGGCCGTCTGAAGTTTTCCAATGAACATATGAATGATTCAGAGGAGAACTGGGTGAAAGTGTTGTGGTCAGATGAGACCAAAATGGAGCTCTTTGGCATCAGCTCAACTCGCCGTGTTTGGAGGAGGAGGAATGCTGCCTATGACCCCAAGAACACCATCCCCACCGTCAAACATGGAGGTGGAAACATTATGCTTTGGGGGTGTTTTTCTGCTAAGGGGACAGGACAACTTCACCGCATCAAAGGGACGATGGACAGAGCCATGTACCGTCAAATATTGGGTGAGAACCTCCTTCCCTCAGCCAGGGCATTGAAAATGGGTCGTGGATGGGTATTCCAGCATGACAATGACCCAAAACACACGGCCAAGGCAACAAAGGAGTGGCTCAAGAAGAAGCACATTAAGGACCTGGAGTGGCCTAGCCAGTCTCCAGACCTTAATCCCATAGAAAATCTGTGGAGGGAGCTGAAGGTTCGAGTTGCCAAACGTCAGCCTCGAAACCTTAATGACTTGGAGAAGATCTGCAAAGAGGAGTGGAACAAAATCCCTCCTGAGATGTGTGCAAACCGGGTGGCCAACTACAAGAAACGTCTGACCTCTGTGATTGCCAACAAGGGTTTTGCCACCAAGTACTAAGTCATGTTTTGCAGAGGGGTCAAATACTTATTTCCCCCATTTAAAATGCAAATCATTTTATAACATTTTTGACATGCGTTTTTCTGGATTTTTTTGTTGTTATTCTGTCTCTCACTGTTCATATAAACCTACCAATAAAATTATAGACTGATCTTTTTTTTTTCAGTGGGCAATACTTACAAAATCAGCAGGGGATCAAATACTTTTTTTCCCTCACTGTGTATATATATATATATATATATATATATATATATATATATATATATATATATATATATATATATTATGCAAGAATTCTGTATAATAATTTCAATAGAAAAACGTTACATTTTGAATCCGGCATCGTTTTGTGTATCAGTTCATAAACCATGTGCCATGGAATCGGTACATCGAAAATCTCTTCCCAACTATTTTTCAATCTGTATGGCACAGCTGTCAATCTTTTGGTCCTTAAATGAAACTGGTATACTTTTGTATTTATCACAATTTTCTTTAACGATTTTTGGTCATTAATTCAGGGCCGACAGACAAGTTCCTTACTTTCTCACCCTTCCACTTGCCTCTTCCATTTTTGTGGTAATGCTGCAATTAGTTGGTTGTAATTTTGGATAGAGCAGACATTTCCATATATTTTTGTTAGCTGCATGTGTGACACAACTCCACCAGTCCTATTTATGATATAATTTACAAAGATTATACTGTTTTTAAACAGTTTTAAACTGGATTAAACTGAAATTGCAACTAACTTTCTATGGCTTGTTTTAAAAATAGCGTTATTTTGGAGATTTAATTTTCAAATAAGCGAAAGTGAGAGGTTGTAATCTGAATAAAGGGAATAAGGCCATTCTTGAACATGAGGTGAGACATTCTTACTAATCTGCTAGAAAACCATTTCGGATTTAAGTATAACTTTTGTATGACTGAAGCCTTTAATGAGAGGTCTAATGCTTTAATATTTAATAATTTCTGCCCTCCGAATTCATATTCATAATATAAATAGGCCCGTTTAAATTTCTCTGACTTGCCGTTCCAAATACAATTGAATATTTTTTGCTCATATAATTCAAAAATCTAGTCGCTAGGTGTAGGCAAGGCCATAAGCAAATAAGTCAACTGGGAAATGACTAAAGAGTTCATCAGGGTGATTTTTCCACAAATAGACAGGTATTTTCCTTTCCATGGTAGCAAGATCTTATCTATTTTTGCTAACTTTCTATTTAAATGTATTGTTGTGAGAAAATTTTGTTATTTCGGAATATGAATACAGAGTATTTCCACTTCACCATCAGACCATTTTATTGGTAAAGTACATGGTAATGTAAAGATTCTATTTTTTTTGTGATCCAATACGTAAAATAGTACACTTATAATAATTTGGTTGTAATCCAGAGAGGTTAGAAAATTATCTAGATCCTCTGTGCAGGGATCCAAATTGTGTATTTAAAAGAAAACATGAATCATCAGCATACAATGACACCTTTCTTTTTAATCCCTGGATTTCTAGCCCCTTGATATTATTGTTGGATCTGATTTTAATAGCTAACATTTCAATGGCCATAATAAATAGATATGCCGATAGTGGACAACCTTGTTTCACTCCTCTTGACAGTTTAATACCTTCTGAGAACTAGCCATTATTTGCTATTTTACATCTAGGGTTACTATACATAACTTTAACCCATTGTATAAGAGATTCTCCAAAATTGAAATATTCCAGGCATTTATATATAAATTCCAGTTGTACTTTATCAAAAGCCTTTTCAAAGTCAGTTATGAGTACCAGGCCTGGTTTCCCTGATTTTTCATACTGTTATTATATTGTTTCCAGTCTTATATTATCTCCAATGTATCGTCCATGTAGAAAACCTATCTGATTAGGATGAATCATATCCAACAATACCTTTTTAATTATATGCTCTACGCATTTTGCTAGAATTTTTGCATCACAACACTGAAGGGAAGGGTCCTTCCGTTTTTTAAATGGACTGGATCTTTCTATTTACCACTTGGTCCTGTTTCAGTAATAATTAAATTAGACCTTTTTGTTGAGTATCTGTTAATCTACAATTTTATATGAGTGGTTAAAACATGCTAATAACGGTCCTCTGAGTACATCAAAGAGGTTTGGTATACCTC